GATAATTGGGGACCTGGATTTAAATGGACATCATTGCTAAGACGAAGCAATGCTTGTATAATGTTCGGAGTGTATGATATAAATGATACCATAAGCACAAGTATCAGTGTACTGAGTGACATTTTCAGAATGTAAAATGTACCATAACATTTATGTTTATGGTGAACAAATGTCAAAATTGATGTAAAAACGAAACCATACCATATCAGTATAGAAAAACATGTACATCCATACAAGATCGACATGTAGATAAAATAATGCAGCTCTGTGGATAAGAGAATTAAGACAAAAAGACAAATAAGGAATATCCTTATACAACCATGTACATAGTTATGCATATTAAAAATAGATGGCATTGGTGTTACATGGTTTGATTTATTATGTGACCCTAAGTTGCCACTAAAGAGGCCAATACGTGCTCTCCAAGCTATAATGCCAATACCCATTGTAGAAGTTGTACTCAATTAGTAAAATGGGCAATATATCAAAATGTGTTTCAGAATGCTCACAGTTTCTCACAATGCATGTGCAGATGTGTTTGGTCTGAAGAAAAAACTATTTATTTGTAAACAATGAAATAAGTAGACAAACAAATGTAAGTCTTGAGTCTTATATTTGTTATTGTTTGCCTCCACCACAAAACACAAACACTTCACTCAGTTGAGTTCCCTATCTAAACCAACTTTAACCTTGCACAATAAATAAGAAATGCAAAGAGACTATGTGCAGCGGTTTAGCACTTTAGCTAATGGTTAGGCTTGACTGAGTCCATAAGGGTAAAATATAAATGTCCACTCCTGAGGAATTTGACGGAATTACTCACATGGTATCACTATAATATATAGTTTCTATGTACAGAGCAAATGTAATACTGGCAATCATATAAAATAAAAACAGTCCATTGATGGAACACTGGTTTGGTAAAGTTTAAAAAAATCAATGACCAAAAACCTTGTTGTGATTATTCAACTCAAAAAGTACTTTATCATTACAGAAGATTATATACAACAATAAAAACAGTTAGTCTTTTGTTATTAAAAAGTAATTTCTAAATACAATGTCAATGTCATTATTGTGGATTAGAAGCTGGTAGAGTTGTTCAGAACAACTGTGAATAATAGCAATCATATAAAATAACAGTCCATTGATGTAGCTCAAGGTAACACAGGTTGTTTAAGGTTAAAAAAGTCAATGTCCAACAACCTTGTTGTGATCATTCAACTCAAAAAGTACTTTACCATTATAAAGGATTATATACAAACAATATATACAGTTAGCCTTTTGTTATTTCAGAAAATTGTCCATTCAGGTAGGCTAAAAAAGATTACTCGTAGTGGTAACACTAACTTCAGAAGACTAAAAGTCAATGTCAGTAGTTAGCTAAATTATTAGAATGTCCCATATAATTGCACTAAGGTATATTCAAGTCAAAATTATGTAATGCTATGTAAAAGTCAGTTGCTGGTCAACTTGGAAAGTTAACCCTTTAGGAGCTGAATTTTTCGTCCAAGTTATCAAGTATACCAACTTGTATTTTCTGGCTATTGGCTCCTCTCCCCTTGTGCCCATATCTTGCCATTAAAAGCCCAGGCACTGGCAACACCTTGGTGCTTCTTTAAGTTGTAAAGTAGAGATTTATTACCTGGTGATAAGTCCTCCATAATAACAAGCCTCTTACCCTTCAGGATCTTCCTGTTAGAAAGTAGGGAATCACGCACCTTGCGATTATGGAATCGGACAATCATAGGGCGTGGTTTGTCTTGATGAGCTTGGGGTTTCTTAAGACGGTGAGCCACCTCAATGTCAGCCTCGCAAATACCAAATTCAGAGGGCATTTGTTGATTTACTTCATTCACCACTGCTTGGATAGAATCCTCACGACCTTGTTGACTTGGTGCCTCTGGTATACCCAACATGCATAAATGGCTTTTCCTGCTATATTGGTTATTATGGTTTACTTCCATGGTAAGGGTTCCAATAACGTCTTTCATAGATTTCATTTCGGACTTTAAAGTATCTACCTCTGTCTTGAGGCTAGCATTTTCAGCACGTAGATCAGCTAGTTCTTGCACAAATGTAGTCCAACAACATTAGACCTAGCCTGGGCCTCGTTTCTTATCTGACATGTCTTATGGCCCCGGCTAGGTCTAACTTCCATGATGATTTTGCCCTTGATGCGAGTTCAGCAGGTTTCGACGTGCGGAACTAATTAACTCCGAAAACATGGTAATATTACATAAAGAATGTGATTCAAGCATGCATACATACCTTATAAATACATACACACCATCCCGTACCCCCCTTAGACCATATTGATGCATAATTACGAAAATATTGGAGACAGGTTTGGAATTTTACGAAAGTATCGGTCAGCTCCGGTAACATCGAAATTGCAAATCGTATCAGGAATTAACCGTCATTGCGACACTGCATCAACGAACAGTAGGTTTGCAATTAATAACGATTTTGTGTGTATACAAGCGCTATATAAATCAATCAAAGATACCTGCTATCCTCAAAAATGGTTATTTTATCCCGAGTAATCGCGTGATAATTATCAATCTATTTGACAACAATTTCGTTTCAATAGTTTAAATTTTAACCCGGGACGAACAGACACAATGCCGGACATGCGGAAATGTCATTTTAGAGATTGGTAAGTTTAACCTCATTTTACTTGTATAAATGACCATTTAATACAATAATATTGTGTTGAATCGCTTGATGTTATGTGTTTTTATATTGTTGTCAAGTATCAGTTGCATACTATCGCGGAAAAATGGTTTCGGTGGATCCAAAACTTGCATCAATGGAAAGAATAGTAAAGAGGTTAAACTCAATAATGGCCCCAAGAAAATTCTTAATAATAAATAACGCCGTTATTGAGTTTAACGACGTTGAACTAGCACAAATGTTGACATGTAGTCCTTTATGGAATCACATATGGCTGATTTTACCTCCGATTTGATTTCATCTGTCAGAGATGCGAAGTCACTTTTTGTGATATAATCGTGGTCCCCATTTATAGATAAGTCCTGTTCATCAGAGCTACTTGGAGGTTGCTTCCTTTTAGGTGGTGGTTTAGATCCTTTAATATGCCTATCAGTGAATACAAGAGTTTTTTGCTTCAGTTTTTCTGCCATTTTGGAAAGAAAGGGTTAATCCTTTGTGTTGCAAGAGTCACAAAATCAAGAGTAAAATATCCTCCAAAAATACCTCAAAGACGATCAAAATTCACAAATTTCTTCGGTATATCAGTAGATAGTTCCTTTATACATCCATGTATGTAGTTTATTTTAGGTATAATCCTCAGATTACATAAAAAATGCTCAAAAGCCTGGACCAAAGCTAAGTGCTGTCACTCTTGCATTTCACTCACATCGAGTGTGGAATAAATGACTACAATATCGTACCTTTTGTTAGGTAAGATAAAGCGTCTTGATATTCTTTAACTTTTTTATCACCAATGACCGTTATTCAAGCAATACTGCATTGATAAGAGGTCAAAACAGTGATATTTTATCGCCAGACTCTTGTCTGTCTAAATCTGAATGGTGCTCCCTTGGTTCCAGAAATGTGACGTCATCAGTACAATAATATTTGGACACACAAGAGTCCGGATCTCGTGAAAAATATTTGCCGCATTAAAAGTCAAATAACTGCATCCATAGGTTATTTACTCGAACCAAACAAGAAGAAATAGAAAGATGGAGATCTCAGCTATAAAATAAGTGCAAAATCTGTCACGGGGAAGCAGGTACCAAGGAGTGTTTGAAAGGTGGTCACTTTTTTTAAGAATTTTCCAATTTAAGGTGACGCATCTTCTGAATTATTCTTTGAGCCTATGATCCTACTACAAAACAATCTGGCCAACATCTGTGCTTAAAATGCCAATGTTTTCTGACCCTACATGTATATCGAGACCCTATCTGTTGCAAGACTAACGCCTGGCGTAACCGTCACCATGTTATTCAGTGTTTTTAAGTAGCGCAAGGATCCTGCCATGACCGTGGTAATGTTATCGTGAAAGCCTGGTATAACCGCGACAATTCTGTATTATATTGCAATGCCTGCCATGACCGTGACAATGTAATATAGTACTGCAAGGCCTGGCATGACAGTGACAATGTATTATGGGATCGCAAAGCCTGGTATGACCGTGACAATGTAATATAGTATTGCAAGGCCAGGTATGAGGGTGGCAATGTAGAAATTTAGGCTTAATCCTACTATGACCATTATAATGTATTGCAATGACTAGTAAATATGTATGACATTAATGCCAGGAATATCCTTAACAATTTTAAGTGATCATCATTACAATTAAACAGTTTAATACTATGATCATGGTATTTGGGCTTAACTACCTTAATCATGTCAAAATCAAAATTACTACCATACATTAATATTCACATTCGTTTATAAACCACAATAAAGGCTACGGTCGCGCCAGGCTTCCACGATAACACTTCTAGGGTCATGACAGGCCTTGCAATATAAGACATCATTGTCACGGTTATACCAGCCTGTCACGGTTATACCAGGCTTACACGCGTACGATAACACTACCACGGTCATGGCAGGATCCTTGCGCTACTTAAAAACACTGATTAACATGGCGACGGTTGTGGCAGGCGTAAGGCTTGCAATAGATAGCATGTGTGTTTATCTTGACACTGATGGTCCATGCTGATCATGGTTAGCAAAATGGCTGTGAAAAACAGAAACTGAGGAGGAAGCGAGGTCCCGATGTGTGATCCAAACTCTTTATTCTCCCTTGGAATCTCTCAAGAGCTTTAGATAAAGAGAGATTCTGATAAATCAGAATGGCTATAAAGCCGAAAGAATAAAAACATGAACAATTTTTTTTTTTAAAATGGGCCTAAATTTCAAAATCAAGATAATCAAACAAACTTCACCTTTAATCAAATTGTAAGCACATAAAAGTGAAAGCACATGTATCTGAGAGCCAATTACAATTTATTGATTAAAATACGTACCTTGGTGAAGATTAAACGAGAATATTCAGACTTTCTACAATATTTTTCGATTTGAATTTTTTCACAAGTCATGTGACCTCAAGGAAACATTTGATTGGTTGGATATTGATTCACATCTTGTTTACTTCCGGCTGTAAATAAAAAGAAATTGCACGGTGGACACCTTATGGATCACCTGTTTTCTTCACTAACAAACTCACAAAATAGAGTTTAACTTATTATCACGTAAGCAAAGACTCCAAAACACAATATTATAGAACTGTCATACATTTTAATTGTAAAATTGGGGCAAGAAATAAGTTTGAATCTGACATATAATTTTCTTGACATTGAATCTCAACATAACACTGTTAGGGTTATCCAAACCCGTCTGGCCCAGCTATCTACACCTGACGTCGTAGATCTACGACTTCGGAAGTAGATAACTGGCCAGACGGGTTTGGTTATGCTAGGGTAGGCTACACAAGTCACTACGTTCTCACCAGTGAGGATATATTATGTCGAGTATATGCAAAAATGTCACAACTTTATTTATAGTTAGACATCCACGTTCGTCATTTTTGTTATTTGTGCATTAGTGTATATCACACTACCCTACCACGTGACCACGTTTAAAAGGGAAACAGGGTACAGCTAAGTTGCAAATGGAGGACGTGGGTTTAATTCCATATTTCCGAACGTAAATTACATTTTACATTTATTTCTAGTATTCTACCAGACGTAGAATTGATTCATCGAGCAGTTTGTAGAATATTGTTGGCAAAAAACCACTATAGGCAAAGATAAATAATAGTGGGCGCAGTGAAGCAAAACTCAATGCAATACACAATACATTTCAGTAAATCTATGAACGTACAGGGAGCATGTAAGTTTCCCTTCGAAAATGTTACATTGATATGTAACAAAAAAACAATTAACTGTTCTTTAAACTGCGTGTCATCGTGTTACATGTGAATACGTTTTCCAGTATGTTATTCAACTGTATTTTTGTGAATTAATTGTTTTTCTTAAATCTTAAGATGCAAAAAACGTCGTCCCAGAAATGTATCTTTACTTTGCCGTGAGGCTATTGTGAAACATTTTTCCTCTTGTCACAAAGAGGATAATGTTTGTTTCGAGGTGTCTTGTGATGAGCGTTTCATGATTAAATGCAAAATCACTGGAGCAGATACCACCCAAAAACATCTGACATTCAACACGTCATCTAAGACTACATTGATCTGGTATTAGTTTTTTTACAATAATAGAGAAATACGATGTCATATCAGCGCTACAGCAAATCGTGAAGAACAAAATGCTCTCAAGTCGTGGCATGATGGTATTTTGAACAAAATATTTTAAATGATCGGTTTTTGAGAACGGTAGTGAATTAGACCATTCAAGGGGTTATATAAATCTACAAAATAATGTTTAGCTTATTTGGATTAAATAACAATTGATGACACCTCAAAGCATCAACAGGCGGCCTTTTTAGCATTATTTTCACTGTTTGCAACGTAAATGTACATGAGATCGGGACATAGTATGTCTGTATAACCCTACTATCACACCAAACTAGTTCTCACTACGTTCTCGAAAACGGGCTTCAACTGTGTACGAACGGGCTGGACGTACTAAGAACCGTTCGGGATCTATTTACAAACTTCATCGAACGTACTCGAACGGGTAGGTCCTCTAGAACTTAGACAATGCTCAAAATGTTATCGTGGTCGTCACGTTCTACAATTAGAACGAGTGACAACGTACTAACGACGAGCTGGACGTACTACGAACGGAACCGTCGTACTTCAATCCTACTAGGGACGTTTTAACAACGAGTTGAACTGTCTGGGGACGTGTTGAGAACGAGGTAGAAGTCATTGCAAACGGGTTTAAACTGATTAAGAACGTATTTAACACTGCTTATGAACGAGTTAGCAAAAATATAGCTATCACACCAAACAAGTTGCCACTGCGTTCTTCAAAACTGGTTCTAAACTATGTGCGAACGGAATGAACGTAGCTGCAACTTTCTAAGGTCTATTTACGAACTTTATGAACGTTCTCAGACGGGAATGTGATTTTAGAATTTTGAATCGATTCAAAATTCGATTGCGACCATACCGTTCTGTTATCAGGTCATGATGACCTTCTAGACTAAGGGACGCGTTCTACGGCGTTGCACACCGACGTGGTGCGACCTGAACGAACTGCGAACGAGATGGACGTATTGAAGACTGTTTAAGAACGAAGAAGCTAATTATTTCAGAAATATTTCCCGACCACAGCCAGATTGAGCCCGTTTTACGACGTTTTCGTAGGACTGGCAAGAACGGGTAAGAACGAGTTTGGTGTGATAGGGGGGTAATCAGCTTACTTTCTCGCTCCCTGTACTATTGAGCAATTTACATTCCTTGTACCCTGTATTGATCAACTTTTGCAACTGTGTACCGTGTACTATGACATATCAAATATTTTAAAATTTAAAACGATATTATTTACATTCTTTCTTCAACTATCATATAACTTGGAACATGGACTTCACTATTGCACCACTGAAGTTCAGCGAATAGCAATATTGAATCACTCCGAGCACCAAACGTATTAACCTTTTGACTAAGCAGTCGAAATACTCAAAAGCGACGTGGTTGAAAGCCCAAAAATTCGCGCATGCGCTATCAAGGTAGGGTAGTGTGTATATACATCTTTGTCCCAAAACTCCTAAACACGCGCTGACTATAAAGATATGCTAATGTTCGTCCATAGGAGTAAGCTAAGGCCTGTGGTTATACAGAGACGTACCTGTACAACATCACACTTTAATTCAGTCTTTTTATCAGCCACATTTTGATCATTTTCTTGGCTTGAATTTCACAATAAGTTTATCTCTCTTTGAGGATGCTTTTTTGGTCTTCTTGGTCTCGGAAATCGTCTTGTTGGATTTCGTTTTCTTGGCAGGGTTGAATTTGCGGTCGTCTTCTAAAATTTGCTTCTTTTTCTTTGATAGGAGACTTGCATGAGTTTTTGTGTGTTTGTGCGTCTTGGTTGATTCTTTGTCATTATTTGTGGCATTTCCAGTATTTGAAATTGCGTCCTCTTTCACTGATGATGCAGTTTCCTTTTTAGAAGATTTAGGTATTTTATCCGGTTTGACCAATTTCTTTGCATTAACACGTTCATCTTTGTTACATTCTTCCTGTTTAGTTTCAAAACAGTTAGCAATCGATGTTTTAGGCTCGTTCATGTCAGATTCGGGTTGGATCTCGTGTTGTTTTTCAATGGCAAAACGTAACTTCTTCGGAGTAAATATAGCTTTTCTTTTTCGAGGTGATGTTTCTCTTTCATCATCTGTATTTGGAGTATAGTGCGGTATGTTTGGTTTGGATCGAGGGGTATATTTTCTAGGTCTCTTGGGTTTCTCAACAATTTCAGGAACGTCACTATCAGACTGCTGTTCGCGCTGGAGAAGAGCAAGTAGTCTTTGCTCCTCCAAGTACTTTGACGGAGACTGGTTATGAAGAACACGCGCACGTGGACGCGGTTGAGTAAACTTTGGAAAGTTTCGATTTTTTCTGTTCTTTTTCTTAGGAGTTTCATGGTCAATACTACAGCGTGGATATATCGTTTCACTCAATTGTTCTGTTGACGGTACATTTGTCTTCTGAATCCCTACAAATCGATCGGCTGGTATTTTACGGACGATCGTATCGTTTATTACATCCTGGCAAGGGATCGACGATAGGAAACGAGTCCTTGTCCTTTCATCGTAGAGACTCGGTGCTATTGGAGATGTTGGTGGGGTAATGTAAGGAGGGTTGCTATAATCGAAGAAAGCTCGTTGGTAACCCCTACTCTTCATCACAAGTGGGCTTTTAGAAAACGCTGTTTCTTCTTCGTGGTCTTCAATACGTTGAAAATCGAAACAATTAAACAAAGTCAGCACTTTTCCACCAGCAAACGAATCCGCAAGATTGTAATCTTCGTACTTAAGAAGCGTTGTATTTATTTCGCATAATGACTTATTTAGTCCAAAATCACCTCTATGTGTGCGTCTTCCCATATTCTATCACGAGCGTGGATAGCAATTGTGGCAAATGTTCTTCTTATCGGTAAAATTATTAAAACTTATCCGTGCGGAACTGAGATAAAAATGTCCACCATTAAAAGTACATTGCGTACACGTGGTTTTGTTTGTTTATCACTGACGTCATAACTTATGACATCATACATTATTCTTTGTGCACAAACCATGAAAATGGGCGTGGTAGGTACAAAAGCACGTGGTTTATGAGGTCGAGATGTCAATTAATATGTTCCGCCTTAAATCTTTGATTAATAGGCTACCGAATAAATTTAACATAATTACTTCGTTGTTGTTCAATAGCTTGTTGTTCATTACTCTGCTAAAACAATAATCTACAGATACATTAGGCAAATTGAATGATGATACCATACGATAGAAATTGCATAAATTCACAATGCATAGAAAAATGCATTTTTATTAATAACATTATGGCATATTGCATGAAAGCATATAGTATAATCTTGAACCTTCAATCCAAACCTAATGTCAAGTAGAGGGAGTAGAAAGAAGTCCATGGTAGAAGGTATAGGTTAGTTTAGAAAGTTTTAGCCACCTCTACTCTAAAGCGAGTGGAAGTCCAAGGTACACTTTATAATAATCTGACTTCTATTAACCTAGAATTTGAATAATGTTGAAACTAAACCTCTCCAGAGAGCCCGAGATACTCAAAATGCATCACCTCTTCTGATTTAATGAGGCGAAAAACAGGTACGGACCTTAGCGTGTTTAGCCGGGACCCAAGAGAGATGTGAAGAGTCAAGGGCCGGGTAAAGAGAAGGGTGACTGGGCTATAGCTGGAGGGGAAGAATTCCGAACACAAGACTTCAATATTAGGCCTTTCTTAAAGTTTGAAACATCTCGAGTCCCTCTTGGCGCACGGCGGGTAACATAAACGCACACGGTTTATCCGGCGCGCTAGTGTTACTTTCAAAAGTAACACATCGTCCTACGAATTTGTAGGACGGAGAATCTGTTTCTCAAGATAAAGAAAAATTAATTTAGAGAAAACGAGGTGAGTGAATATCTAATAATATGTTCCATGAATGCGATATAATCGGGATAGCTTTTATTAAAAATTCCATTCTTAGTATCATCTGGGAATACTAAATTTTATTCCAAGGTATCATTATGAGGTCGATGAAAATGTTGTTTTCCTCTAATGAGATAACTGGAACAACCACTGATTTTTCTACATACTATATTTATATATTCGACATCCTGTTGGTTTTAAAATCCTATGACCCGAGTATTATATACTTTATGTCATTTGATATTTCAAAATGTTTTGTCCAAAATTTCAAATGTAGCCCACCGATATTTGAGAAACGCACCGGATCTATATTAAAGGGGGCGACGATTACAAACAGGATCGTCAAGATACAAGTGGAAGCCGCTGAAAATGACAGTGGCGTTATCATAAATTATGTCAGTTGGAGAGGCTACATACCGAACATATGAAAATGCACATGCTCAATTTTACATGTGAAATCATTCTTTGCCGATGGGTTTCCAAATATTGGTTGGCGCGATAGTTTTAACATTGACATAATAAATATGAAAACAAGCGTATATCTGAACCTCAGTAAACGTTTTGGACCAGCCTTGTTTAGGTTTTCATTAAATGTTAATCTTCAAGGGGCAATCAAGTGGAGAAAATAAGGGTTGTTTATTTTATGGATGAACCCATGATACTTGTCAACTTACAACTGATATGTACAATTTTATTCTCGTGGACTTTGACATTTGAAATTCATCAAATAAAAACATGCACCAAATATTATAGTATTCATAGTACACTGAACAAATGTCAAACAACTTAAAATATAATTAATATAAATATATTATTATTATGTACATGATATATGCCATGGGATTTCCATACAAATTATTTTATAATTAGTTAGATTTGAAATTAATAAGTATAAAATCATTTGTTAGTTAAACTGCTATAGTTACTATTTAGTATATCAAACAAACACTTGGCATCTAGGATCATTTGTATTACCACATTGTATTAATTACAATGTCATAACACATTGTATTACTTTATTATATTACTACATCATATTACTACATTGCTATTCAATTTATTCTAAATCACCTGAAGCATATGTACATCTTTATCTATTTATTTAATCAATAAATTGAAAGAAAAATAGTTCCTATTTCACAAATTCATATTTTGGACCAGCTTAAATAACGTAAAGCGTAATAATGTAAATGTAGTACATGGTGTGCCAAAATACAAATTCTTCCCATTATTCAAGTCTAATATTATTATGTACATTTATCATGTACATAATTCAGCTAGAAATGTAATTGTACTTATTGGAGTCTGTTTCCATCAAATTGTTTACTCCTGCTTATGTGGCTCAGTCAACTGCCTAATATAGCTGTTGGTGTGCTGCAAAAAGGCCTTTTGGATACTTAATCAATCTAACTTGTATAGTAGCCTAATAATTCCCCAATTAATCTGTAGTTTATATGTGCAGGGAATTTTGTTTCACTTTGTTTCAACCACACAGCTTCATGATTTGAGGTGAGTCTTTAATATAGGTCCTAATAAAAAATATGAGTTGGTGCTAGCTTAGATATTCTAAACTTGCTTTTGCTTTCTCCATTTCATGTAGGAATGAGTAAAACTGTGGTAGTGTCAACTCTGGAAAATAGAAAATGATGTGAGATTAGTTAATTGTAAAATGGGGATTCATGTTTGGGGTTTTCAATGATTCACTTGAATGCTTACTTTTTGGTTATATGGGTAACTATAGCAACAGCATGAATTACTTGATATCAACATCATCATGTTTTAATCTACATTTTTAAAGTACCCAAACTGATTGGAAGAGGATAACTTAAGCATGCAATTGACACAGAATACATCACAAAAAACATAAATTGCTGATAACTCCAGAAATTCATCAAAATTATGGATTTCAATTCTGATGTCACTCAATTCTTCTCAAAAAGGGTACAGCATGCCGTTACAATTTTGACAATTATTCTTAAAAAGGGTACAGCATGCCATTGCCATTTGACTGTTTACTTAATAGAGTATCATCTCCTCCTTGACCACCAAGCTTCTTTCAATGTGACTAACATTCATACTTCACATATACCCACCCATATATTGATTCTCTGTTTTGTTCCCTTTGTTGATTACCAACTTCAGTTGAAGGAAAGTGTTTCCAACTTTGTTCACTTCTGAGCTCGCTGCAGTAACTGAAATTCAGTAAAACCTGTTTAAGTGAACACCTCAAGTGGAATTTTCCCATTTAAAGGGATTCTGGGAGATACAAGTGACAAAATATTGCTTCAAGATGAGATCAAACGACTTTGACATATTGTATACCCTACCTATTTTGCAATTTAACAACGCAAGTATACATACCATATATAAGCAGATATCAGACAAATTCATAAAATATTTTTTGATTGATAAAATCATCGATCATAAAACCGAAAGTGTGTTCTGCGATGTCTGTGTGTGAATATTTCAATTATTCAGATTTTGATGTGGATTCCATTTTAAATGCTTCTAAATGATTTTCTAATGCTTACTATGATTTCTATTAGTAATGTTTTGACTTTCCCGCTTCATAAAAAGAACATTATCACTATTTACTCGACTCGAAAATTTACTTCCACTCTATCGTAATAAAGATGAGCTGAAAGTTGTCGTACAGAACTTTCATTCTGTCTTAATATTGCTTTTCAAGGTTCAATAGGTGACTTTGAATGGACCTTCATGCATAGTTCGAAAATAGAATCATCAGAGAAGCTTTCAAACCATGAAATTGACTCTACAGCCTGAAAAAAAATTTTGAACCATTTTGTCGACTGTATGTTACAATGTGCCTTTAATGAACTTCTATGAGTGGAACACCTCCCAAGTGGAGTACTATTTTAATATACTAACTGAGTTCCACTTGCACATGTTTTACCATCTAGTATTGAGAATACATATTTGCACAGTTCAGAAGTATACAAATTCAAAGTGTTTCTCCAATTTTCTACTCTCTATAAAACAGATTGAGGAGATGAATACTTCAAAAGTGAGCAGATGATGCAAGATTTTATTCGAAACTATTTTCTAAATAAAAATTACAATCTAAATGTACATGTATGTAAACAATGCACAAAAGTATATCAAAATGAAAATCAGAATTTTTGTGGGAATTTGAATGTGTTATTCTTTGAACATTGGAATAAAAGTGAATTTTATGCTAAAGAGGGTTGACAATTAAAAAACAAACATTTAATATATTCTGTATCATTATTAGAAACTCAAAGAGAGATTACACATTTTGAGAAATTGTACATGAATGGGTTACATTATCACCTCAAGGGATTAATAAAAGTCCCTCTCTCAATTAGTTTTTACAGGAACTTAATTCCAACTATTTGTCTTTTACCATGTTTACCTATACCCAATTTAGCAAGAAAACACTATGAAGGGGAGAATCAACCCCTAGCTAAAGAATACTGTAATTTTTCTTTTCCAATAACAGTTCTCCTTCAAATTGTGAAGCTTAACCTCTGTAATATTTTAAAAATGTTCTATCAAATTAATGTTTATTTCAAACTTACCTCCAAACTTCCACTCCATATCAACCAATTGGTTGACCATAAGGGTCTGGCCAAGTGCACTCTTAGATAATGCCCCCATATTGGCTTGCCACTACAATAAAACAAAAACTATCAGACAATGCCCCCATATTACCTTGCCACTAAAGTAAAACAAAAACTATCAGACAATGCCCCCATATTACCTTGCCACTAAAGTAAAACATAAACTATTAGATAATGCCCCCATATTGGCTTGCCACTACAATAAAACAAAAACTATCAGACAATGCCCCCATATTACCTTGCCACTAAAGTAAAACAAAAACTATCAGACAATGCCCCCATATTACCTTGCCACTAAAGTAAAACATAAACTATTAGATAATGCCCCCATATTGGCTTGCCACTACAATAAAACAAAAACTATCAGACAATGCCCCCATATTACCTTGCCACTAAAGTAAAACATAAACTATTAGATAATGCCCCCATATTACCTTGCCACTAAAGTAAAACATAAACTATTAGATAATGCCCCCATATTGGCTTGCCACTAAAATAAAACATAAACTATTAGATAATGCCCCCATATTACCTTGCCACTAAAATAAAACATAAACTATTAGATAATGCCCCCATATTACCTTGCCACTAAAATAAAACATAAACTATTAGATAATGCCCCCATATTAGCTTGCCACTAAAATGAAACATAAAAACTTTAGATAATGCCCCCATATTACCTTGCCACTAAAATAAAACATAAACTATTAGATAATGCCCCATATTACCTTGCCACTAAAATAAAACTATTAGATAATACCCCATATTGGCTTGCCACTAAAATAAAACATAAAGTATTAGATAATGCCCCTATATTACCTTGCCACTAAAATAAAACTATTAGCTAGATAATGCCCCCATATTAGCTTGCCACTAAAATGAAACATAAAAACTTTAGATAATGCCCCCATATTGGCTTGCCACTAAAATAAAACATAGAACCTTTAGATAATGCCCCATATTGGCTTGGAAATTTAATGAATCATAAAACCTTTAGACTATGCCCCCATATTGGCTTGCCACTAAAATAAAACATAAAACTATTAGATAATGCCCCAAAGTATTAGTTGAAAACTGTTTACAAGCTTATTGGTCGATCAATGATTTTGAATTGATGATGCCTAGATTGACCAAGTACACCATCATGTAGTAAAAATTCTCTTGTGGATGAGGTAGAGTAGAGGTAAGTGTATAAATAAACTTGATATTCACCTGATTAGCAAAATAATTTCCCTTTTCATCTGAGAGTCCAAGTTGTATGAGATCTTCCTTCAACTGTTCTGCTGTCAAATGTTTCTTCAGAGCACCTGGAAATATTATTTAATCAAATGGAATGTATGTATGTATCTTTTATTCCCGATTTCAAATCTGATTTCATATTAAATAATTCAATGTTATATATGTAAATTACAGTGTTAAAAGAATAGAAAAAAACAAGGTCACGACATATTTACAGTCTTCAATATACAAAATTTCAAATAACAAGATCTTCTGCATGTTTATGCAAATATAGGTACAAGACTAATGTCAGAAGCTGATATTACTATATGGATGTATTTCAAGATAAGCTCTAAGGTATATATCATACATTAAAGTATAAGAGGTTCCTTGATGTCAAATATTCTCTAGTACCTTATTCTTAGTGTATTTATATTCATATATGCCCTTATTTGGGAGCCATTACCCTGATCTTAATAAACCCCTTATATATCTGATTTGTGACACACCAATTACTTGTACATGAAGTACGTTTTGAGCCTTAAAACCAAGAATTTCAGTGTGCTCACATTTGTTTTATACAGTGCCTCAATATTTTACAATGTTCACTCATAAACATAACATATGAAGAGAGATATTCAAAAAAGAATGAGAGACAACATTTGAAAAACACGATAAAAATAATTTAAAACATCTTTATCAAAATCACCTGTTTTGAGGAATTTGGAACAGTCCCCATGGTTAGAGTCATAATTTTCAATAACTGCATGTTATCAAAATATGCAATAAATTACAGTCGTTTTCGAAACAGTATCCATGTTGGAAATCTTTTTGCATGAAACTATTCACAAATATATGATCTCAATCCTTGTAACAGATAACTGATTCTAAAATATCTTACTATTAGGAACTGTTAGCAGACTCTTTATAACATTCTTCAATGGGGAAGCCCCAACACCATGCTGCTCAGCAAACTCATCCAACTGACTAAGTAACCTGGCAGACTGAAACAATATACTAAAGAGTTAACAGATTACATACAGATAAATTTTGAATAGGCGTGTGTTTGGAAGAATAATAAAATACATGGTTTCGTTAAATCAATTGGAAAACATTAAGAGAAATAAATTTGTTAAATGTAAAAAGGTCCTTTTAAAATAATTCTTAATAGAGCTTTTTAATTTGAAAAATAAATAATATATAAATATACAATATGATGAACTTCAACTTGACTTATTTAAGATAGATCTGGATGATGAGAATTTTTTGTAATTTTCATAAAAATATATGGCTAGCTTAACACATCTCTTATCTGAACAACTCCCAATGTGAACACTTTTTCCCGGTCCAAATTTTGTTATCCCCCATAGACTCACATATTAAAAGAAGTCATTAACATGTAAAATGTCACAACTGGCCATTTGTTACAGACACTGATCGGCAAATGCTGACCACAGAACACCATTCAGACTGGGGACTGTTATTTAACTATCAGACAAAATAGAAACCCAAAATCCACATCCACAATATCTCATACCTTAAGTCCTTAATGCCTAAAGCTTACCTTGTTTGGCTCTATGAGGAAGGCAATGACAATATTGACCAGCTGACTAAATTGCTGAAAATATAAAATATGCAATAACTGACTTCTTCAGAAGTAGATTGAGTAAAAATTGTATCACTCTACTCATGGGTTTTAGGTTGACATAAAGATGGGAGCAGTGATTCTCTTTAGACCAATGCTGCAAACAAGAGGGGGAATAACACCAGGGTTCAAAGAAGACATGTCTATAATGTAAATCTGTATTGAGAAAACATTGTTGCTGATTGGTCAAATCACGCACGGCGCATTGAATTAAGCATACTTCCTTTTATGTATGTATCTGACTTCTTGCACTAAAGCTCACTAGAGGCCCCCTCGGGCCTTTCACATTAGCTGATTAACATGGTACATGTAATTCTGTTGTGCTGATTATAGCTCAGCTGTATAGCTATAGAATTCTTATCAAATGAAACAAATGGCAGAGTTATCCCAAAACAAAATCCAGCCATCCACCCAGGATTGTGTAATTTACCTCCTATCCATTTTTTGGTTTTAGGGGCCCAAAATTATTTTTACACAACTTCAAATTTGGGCCCCCAACTTACACGCCCGGTGATCATACAAAATGGATGGAGGGTGGAGTAGGCGATTTCTGCAAGAAAACTCAACAAATTTGGAAGATTTAATTTTTCAAGAGAAAATTTGCAACTGAATTTACAAATGAATAGGTGCAGTGCATGGCAAAATATGTTAGGTCTTCTAGTATTTTTTTGAACTGATACGCTTCTAAGATATGAAATCTATTAAAAAAGGCGCATCATCACCAATGTGCAAAAGTCAATGTTTTTGCTATAAATCAGGCAACAATGGTCTACGACCTGTAATAAATAGGTATAAGGGACATTATGGATGGAGGGGGGAGTAATGTGTATATAAGACATGATAAGACACGCTACTTGAATTTATTCTTATAACTCCAAATTTTCCCATTTTTCATTCTCCAGAGATATAATATCTAGTTTCTTATACTGGGGTACTGAGTTTAGTTTTTTCAAATGAACGAGCTCTTTTGAATTTGTTACATCATAAAGACATATAACTCCCCCCTCCATCCACTCCCCCCTCTATCCAATATTAATTTATTTCTATTATTTTTTGTATAACGCATGGAAACTAACTTTAAAAAGTGAGCAATGTTATTAGTGTTGTGATAATAACGTCCCTTATACCTTATCTCGTTCCAAGAAACGAAGAGGATGGGCTTGGAACAAGATAACCTTATACCTATTTATTACAGGTCGTAGACCATTGTTGCCTGATTTATACTAGCAAAGGAGGGACTTGCTACATAGTTTTAGAGATATAGATTATAGATGTGTCCTTATTAATTTATTATCAAGTAATCATTGTCTAAATTGGAAGCCCATGTTGTAATATTCAAGTTTTATTTGGAGAAAGACTTATTTAATAGTCTCGATGAATTAATTGTGTAATATACATATATAATTACCTCATCCTGAAACTTATTCAACGCTTGAACATCTGAAAACATAGATTCAGGGGGAGGTTCCTTGGTGAAGTGAAAATTAGTTGCCATCTTCAATGATTCTTTTTCGTTTGGTGTAACCGGAAACAGCTCAAGGTCACCATGGCTGGACTTGTGAAAAAGGTGAGTTTCTGCTTATTTTATCGTATTTCCGATACCATCACGAGAAAATCGTATTGTATATTACATCCATATACATCAGTGCACTAGCTGTCAAAGTTTTGATTTTCCATTTTGCTGCAAAACTGAGAAAAATTAGCCTGAAGAAATTGAAATTCTTTTTACAAATAATTTTTGGTTTTTAAGTTCTTCGCCAGCTAAAATGTCCACAGGATCTTGTAGCACGTTTATGGTGACTGATATGGGGCTGCGTGATATGGGGCTTTATATAGAGAGAAGGATTATAACGCCGACAAATTTCGAAAACTGGAAGTAAAAAAAATATATGAATTATTGGTCAGAATTTTATAATTAGGGTCTCATTTTGAAAAAAAATCTTTCTTCTGTAAGATAAATGTCACTGCCTTACATTTAGATAAATTTAAATAAAAAAGTTTCTTTACTTTCTGATACCCATGCTAACGACCGTTAGGTGCTATACAACCAAAAGTCACCTTTATAGCGATTTCTCCCCAAATCTTTCGCCAATTAACTTGTCCTTTACTCGTAGAATCATTGACCCACTAGATATTTGTAGGGATGCTGCGCTTATGCTGTTCAGCCTGTAAAAATATGTTATTTTGCCGTTTTAAAAATGAAATGTGAAAGGTCGGACGGTCAAGTTCACTATGTCATTATTTCAAGATGGCGGCAGAGAATCGTCAAACAGTCGTATTTTTAAAATTAGTATGCTTTTACACATTTTTGAACAATAATAGTACAATTGGAACAGCGTATACCATTGCGTATGTGTGTATTACAACTGGATCAAACCAGAGATCAATCGACGAAAAATTGAGGGAGAAATCGATCGATAAGGTAAAACCTGCACATCGCTCCAAAACGCAATATGTTGACATATATTGTTTTTACATTTTCAAGCTCTAATATAAAGTTTATGTAAATAAAAATAGTTTTTTCTGCGTAATATCAAAGAACAATCATTTAGTTAAAAAAATAAAAAGGCGAATGCGGGATTCGAACCCGGGCCTCCCGCGTGCTCAGCGAGGATTCTACCGCTACACCACCGAATATTTATGAGTTGTAGAAGTAATTAAACACTACTAATTTTGAATGCTATGATTCGGAAGTGACGTCACATTCTTCATTTAGAAACCTTTCCAAAATCATATCGCCGGCTCTGATCGAAGCAAATTCAATGAAAAATCTTTGAAATGACACATTTATCGTAAGTATTTCTACACAAGATTTGCCCCATTTGTTCATCATTCTATAATCTTTCATTAAGCTCAAAATGATAAAGTTCACCCCCGAAACAACCCAAGATTGCGTTTCGGAGCGTAGTCCAGCTTAAACTATGAAAAATATTTTTTTATATTTTTTTTTATTTTTTCATTTACAGAACCCGGAAGTAGTGAAGTGTTATTCCCCTTATTACTTCTTTTACTATAGGGCCTATCATAGTGCTCATCTCATATCATAGTGCTACATGTCTCTGTGAAAATGTCACTCGACTTTTTTGCAAAAAACCTTCCAAAAAGTAACAGTCGCATTAATTCACATTGTCGTACTTACAAAATGATCCACCGCCTAACTTATGCACCATCGAACTAGGTAATATTGTACACGTAACTGTTAATTGCCGTATATTCCCATAGAAAACTGGGCTTGCTTTTCAACATTTCAAGCGAAAATTCTCTATGGAGCTTTTGTTTTTCTGACGTAATTTCTTCTAAGAAATCGGTGATGTGATAGGTTCAGTTAATCTTATTTCGAAAGAGGTGTCATCTATTTAGAATATTTATTTTCATCTTGTCCAGTCCTATATACAACCTGCCCTTATCCTTTTCGCTTGTAAAACCGCATAGTAATGTTGAAATTATGGAATAGATTCTCTGAGAGTGGCGACATGTCTGCATCTCTACCATCTTGCGTTTGACACCCCTCGTTTTGGGCGAGTCCAAGTAAACCGCACATCCGGGTGATTAGAAAATAAACATTTTTCAAGAAAATTCGAGCGGTGAGACAGATTACTCTGGTCAAACTGAGTTTTTGATGAAACTTATGAAAGAATCAATAAAAGGTAAGTGACATACAAGTATATAAAATCATGAATGACATAGACAAGATAAAGCCATCCCATTTCTTTACCCCAAGTCATACGAACACAAGAGGCCACAGCCAGAAATTCTACAAATCCAGATGTAACCTTGCCCTGAGACGAGGATTCTTCAGTCAACGTACAGTAGGCGACTGGAACAACCTCCCAGAGAACGTAGTTACAGCCCTAACATTAGACGATTTCAAAGCAAAGGTCGACGCCTACTACTACCAGTACCCAGACATGTAAGATCACAGGGAACCTAGGATGATCAGTTCACACTACACTAGTATTTTTGCCCATGTTCAAAATAATTTTAGTGCAACCGTCACATTGAATTACACACACTACCGTCTTTGGGAAATAAAATACCAAAGAAATTGAAAACTGCCCATAAGAATCCATGTAAATAATAAAACCAGAAGGGAGGACAACACAGGACTAATCTTACCCTCCTAAACATGATGATGATGATATACATTAGGCGGATGCCAAAAATTAAACATGGCGCCAATTTGAAACTTCAGAATGCCTTCTGTGATTCAAAATCACAAAAAAGTCGAGTGACATTATAGCTGGCGAAGAACTTAGATCTATTCTACTTCTAGGCTAATTCAAGTGGCTAATTAACTCCTTAAAGACTGGTCAATTTTAGGAAAAAATGAAAAAATAAAATGTACAGTGGGGGACATAAAGAATTACAAAAGCTATTGAAATTACATGCTGTCGCTCATGTAATAAATTCTTACCTCAGTGTATTCAGTGCTCTATTTTCTCTATCCTAGTAAGTCCAGATATAGTGGAATTTGTGTCCATAATGACAAATAAGAACTTAAAAATTTGAATTGAACATTCACATGTTAATGCCGACTCTTCAAATGTTGAGGTGATTTTGGAGCCCGATTACGTCGCCAATGTGGATTGGCTCCCAGAATGCAACATGACACGTGTCAGCGAGTAAATAAAGTTACCTGATGTTGCATTTTGGGAGTCAATCCTCTTTGAATCACAAACATTGGTGATTTATGAAAACATTCATTCGATGTGGTAGGGATTTATCCATCATTTGCAGGTATGAAGCTTTGGATTCATTTATTGTGCTACTTAAGGTGAATGGGAATTATTTTTCTACAGCTTGGGAGAGTTTGAGACATGAAATTTAGAGTTTAGCTCATTGTGACAACTTTTGAGGGTTGAGTTTTATTATTTGTCCCCACTGTAAATGAATCTAGAAGCAAGAAAATGAAGTAAGACACAATAAGTTAAATATCATTTTGAAGGGCTAAAGTGGGGGACAAAACTAAACCTCAAAAGTTGTCACGATGAGCTAAATTCTAAGTTTCGTGTCTCTAACTCTCCCAAGTGGTAGAAAAATAATTCCCGTTCAGTTTAAGTAGCACAATAAATGAATCCAAAGCTTCATACAGTACATGTACCTGCAAATGATGGATAAATCCCTACCAAATCGAACGAATGTTTTCATGAATCGCCATGTTTGTGGTGATCCAAGGAGGATTGACTCACACATCAACATCAGTTAACCTTATTTACTCGTAACAGGTTTCAAAATGGCGGAGCAGCATTTTAAAAGCTGGCATGTGTTTCACGTGTTGCATTCTGGGAGCCTATCCTCCCTTGCAGCGTAATCGGCCTCCAAAATCTCATCAACATTTGAAGAGTCGGCATTAACAGGTGAGTATCCACTTCAACTGTTTAAGTTCTTATTTGTCATTATTGACACAAATTCCACTATATTTGGACTTACTAGGATGGAGAAAATAGTGCACTGAATACACTGAGGTAGGAATTTATTACATGTGTGAGAGCATGTAATTTTCATAGCTATAGCAATTCTTTATGTCCTCCACTGTATAGACCCATACTTTATGTTTTTGGAAAAAAATGTGAATATGCAAATGAAATAGTGTCCTTGTGATGTCACAATTTAAGATGGTGCATTTGGATTTTTTGCAAAATGGAATTATTTTAGCATTTAATTTTTTATTGAGATTTCAATTTAAAAATCTGAAAACACAGAATTATAGATCTTTTTATGCTGATTTCAGTGGTATCTGTACCATGGCATAACTCCTACAAATAATTTTTTTAGAGCATCGAGACCGAAAATTCAGAGAAAATCCTTATGGCGATTTAACATGGGATTTTTTCGTTTTCACAATTTATCGCTCATTCGCAAGCTTCAGACCCCTGTAACTTCGTAAATACTTTAAGAGTTCGGGTCTGCTAAAAACACAATTAGAGTAACCCCCTGATTTTTTCGTGTGAGTTGATGTAAAACAAGTTTGTTTATCAACTTATCAATTCTGAGGCTTGAATTAATTCGTTAACAGTATCAATTCGATGATTGTTCCTAGCCATGAATTTCCACTTACATCAATAGAAATTAGAAACACACCTGGTGTTCGTACAAAAATGATGGAGGGGTGATTAGGCGATTATTGCAAGAAAACTCAACAAATTAGGAAGATTTATTTTTTTAAGAAAAAATTTAAAACCGAATTTCCAAATGAATTGGTGCAGTGCATGGCAAAATATGTTAGGTCATGTAGTATTTTTTTTGAACTGATACCCTTTTAATATATATATATTTCTTTTATTGACATTTTGTATCAAAACATGACACATTAGTCTATGTACAAACTAGGCTGTCTTGACACAAGACAATACTACACTATTAACTAAATGCTAGACTACATTTATAACTAAACTTTATACATGTAACATATAATCATTAGTATGAGGCTACAGGCTTTCTATAAAACTTGATGCATAAAAGATAAAAAAGAAGATATTAGCAGTGTAGCACAGTAATTGTAGTCTACTCTAAATTTTGGAAAGAATGGTAAACATATTGGCCAATATGCCTTTGAACAGTAATATTTTGCGAAGACAGTAGCATTTTAAAATTTGTTTCATTGATTAGAAAATCGGGTCCAAATATTTCTTTCATTTTTTCTAGAAGAATATGAGATCTATTAAAAAAGGCGCATCATCACCAACGTGCAAAAGTCAATGTTTTTGCTATAAATCGTTCAACAATGGTCTACACGACCTGTAATAAATAGGTACATGTATAAGGGACGTTATTATCACAATACTAATGACATTGCTCACTTTTTAAAGTTAGTTTCCATGTGTTACACAAAAAATAATCGAAATAAATTAATTTGGGATGGAGGGGGGGGGATCTGATGGAGGGGGGCTCACATGTATATAAGACATGATAAGACATGCTACTTGAATTTATTCTTATGACTCCAAATTTTCCCATTTTTCATTCTCCAGAGATATAATATCCAGTGTCTAACTGGCATACTGAGTTTAGTTTTTTCAAATACATGAGTTCTTGTGAATTTGTTCCATCGTAAAGATATATAAATCCCCCCCTCCATCCGATCCTCCCCCTCCATCCCAAATTAATTTATTTCCATTATTTTTTGTATACTCGCATGGAAACTAAATTTAAAAAGTGAGCAATGTCATAAGTACAGTAAAACCTGTCTAATCCGAACACCCATGGGACCAGCCAAAAGCGTTCAAATTGGCAGGTGTTCAAATTTCGAGGATATTGTTGTAGTCAGAAACCCATGCCTCTCTATCGTTTCAAAAATTTACCCAACGTGTTCGTCTCTGTTAATTTATGGCATCCATACTTTTTTGAAAGGTAACACTTTGAGGTTCAATTTGCTGCCGGATGCCCTTGCAAACTCTCATTGGTTGCTCTGTATTGTAGCATTCCGTTACCATGGTTACGCATCTATAAACATCTTACCTTGGAATCTTAGATCATTTGTAACTTTGTCATTATTTGGTCTATAGAGATGATATTGGTATCAAATTAAACAAAATTAAATTTCCCATAAACTATTGATATTCAATTATGCAAATTAGCTCATTTGCATAAATTGTGACGTCATCAATCAATTTTTGATTCAGGATTTTCAAGTATAGCAACATATCTATTAGAATTGAGGCCATATGTCAGAATTTCTGCAAAGTTTGGTCCTTTAGTCTATAAGAAGAAGGTATAAGCAACATAAAAGTGAAAACAGATTCAAAATTGGATCAGTATTACCAAAGTTATTAAACTTTCGAGGAAGCTACTGTGAATGTCATTATTTGACAATTATATTCAGACATCTTACTATGGAAGTTTAAAATGTTTGTAGCTTTGTCATTATTTGGTCTATAGAAATGACATTGGTATCGAATTAGACCTTATTAAATTTCCTGTACGATTACAATGTTCAATTATGCAAACTAGCTAATTTGCATAAATTGTGACGTCATCCATCTATTTTGTTTAGAATATCCCAGTTTAGCAACATACCTATTAGAACTGAGCCCGTATGACAGAATGTGTGCATAGTTTTGACCTTTATTTGATGAGTGGATGATATATAGGCAACATTCAGGAGACAACAGATTCAGAATTGGATCAGAATTAGCAGTTATTCAGTTTTTGGGGCAGCTACTGGGAACGACAATTATAAAAAGTTTTACAATAACGAAAAAAGAAACAAACATTGTTGTTTCAATCTTATTGAGTAAAAATGTACATGACTTGTTCATATTATTCCATTGAACTGAACATGTAAGTATGTGGAGATGTTACATGTATTTTGACTATCATTCACAGGGGTCAAAATCGTGTGATCTCGATCCTGTATTTTAAAATCCAATTTTATAATTTACCATACACTGTCAATGATTCATATAAATACATAGTAATGCTTTAATTATGCTATTTTGACATAATATGTTGACTAGTATACATATTAGTATTTACAGAAATTATATGGAGGAGTGTTCTTGGTTTCATTTGATTTCTAACATGTGAAAAAGCTGAAAACAAAATTTTGTTGATATTTGAACATAAGCTAAATACACCTTAATTACCATTTTATATTCAAAATACAGATAGAGTGTCAACATTAGAACATGTGTCAAGAATTGAGGGAGTCACATCACACCCTCCAGGATGCATTCCTTTGATGGAACTGTCACACTTAGGCCTTGTAGCTCAGTGTACGCAACTGTGTGAATACTTTCCGGCAGATGGTAGGGTACAGGGTACTAATATGACAACTACTTCAAGGGAATTTTGTAACCTTCAAAATCCTTGGTGATTCAACCTTAGAATGATTTTTGTTATAGCTTTTCTGAAAATGGACTATAAGCAACAGGTACTTCAGGAAGCAAATTGAAAAGTAGTTTTTTTATAATTTTACAAAGTATAACCTCTTTGATATGCAATGGAAAATGATAACCATATCCATACAAAGAGCTCAGTAGTAGTACTTGTAATCCTGAAATTAAAGTCTGTTGAAATAGCCACGAAGAAAAAATGCCCTTTAAAAGAAGTGATATTCGTAGGACTTTAAAGATGCATTATGCCATAGGTTTCTCCCCCAGACAATCAATGATGTCCTATTGTTATTGCTCATATAATATCTCACATACCATGGATATATCTTGAGAATAGCTTTTGGGTATATTATTGCCGAAATATCGGAAATAATCAACAGAACAACCAAACTCCAGAATTAAACACAATCGATTCCTCGGCTAGCGAGGGGAATCCCCATTGAGTCACACAAGCGCCTTGAACCAGGCAGGCAATCAGGTTTATGATAAATAGATTCAACGACCAATCAGATAACAGGATGACTTTCCTGGTATATTCAAACTTCAGATTGAATTAATTTCTTCGAAAATAATTAGATCAGCCAGCACAATCGCAAAATTAACACTGAAAGGGGGGGATTTGGGACTACTTCTTTGGTAAGTAAATGGGTATATATGTGGTGAAACTCATTATGCAAAAAAGTCCAGAGGGGTCTTGAATGTATTATCCTATGGCATAGAGCCTCTTTAACTAACCCTTCCTATATCTATATATAGGTTTCCTACATCTCCAATGGAAGTATGTGTGGTATGGAACTTATTATCTAAACTTGTTTTAAAAGGTTTCCAAAATATAAAATATGTACAAATCTATGAACAGTAACAACATGAGATTTTGGTGCAAAATAAAGGAGTTAATCACGTAGCATGATTGACAGAGGTTGAATCAAACTATTTTAATATACTTTTTATAGTTTAGAAGCTTTAATATGGCATGAAAATAGCATACAGTATGTAGTTTAGGGAGCAGAGATATTATTTCATTGCATGGATTTAAATTATTTTCAGACAAGGGTTTCTGAAGATCTAATCAATATAACAGATTATATCAAAAACCAGGAGATCAATGTCACACAGATGATATTCGAGAGTCAAATCACACTGGTGAGGTGAACATGGAGATCAATGTGCATGACAAAGATGATGGATACATTGAATAAAAGCATCCCTGTCATGAAAGTCACCACTGAAATAGATACAAAAGAAAAACTCAACCACTGCCATATAGGTTCCGGACATGGATAATGGTACATGAAGATTATAGCATGAATGAATGACATATAGGTGATGTTAACGCGGATATCAATGTCACATGGATGACATGGTGATAAATCGTTAATTTGTTCAAAAAAAAGTTACACTATTAAGGTGATGTTAGTCACATGGAAATCAGTAACACTTGGATGTAGGAACTCTTGGGTTCACACAAGTCCTCACTATTCATTTCTACGCTTCATTAACACTTAATATAAAAATGCAATACTATCTATGAACTATAATAGCTTGGTATGATAAATAATATGAGGTGTCTCAAAAATGTACCCAAAAGAATATTAATGGCACAGATAAACCAATCAATATTTTCAGATATTTTTGCATGGTCTGAAGCATGTAAGTTTCCTCCCCATTACAAAGTTTTTAGTTCAGTCTTGCCTTTTTGATGATTTAACCCTTTACTTTTTATTTCATATTTCGATGACAGCCTATATCCTTTTGCTAGATTGTTCATTACATTTGATAATGTTTCAAGTGGAACGTTTTGATTTTCTCTTTGGGTGTTGGCCTTATGTTGTTCCAGGTCTTTTGGCTTGGGGTTAGCTTAAAATGCTCCTTCAAATAACCCCAAAGAAAGAAGTCCCAAGGTTGAAGATGGCAGAACAATCACAGAGAACCAGGTCAATTATCGTCAAATGATTTAGCGGTTAATTGATAATGGAGCTCCATCTGCCAGAGTTACGGAGACTGAATGATATACAAATGAGAACACTGTGGTTCCAGACAGTTTGAGTACCTCCATGTACAGCAAGGACCACACAAAAATTCTCATGAAAGCAGTTTCTTCTCTCTGTGTAAAGACATTGTTAGGGCCGCCCTATTCAACACATTTGACACCCCAAACATTTTCTCTGGGGTGACTTGAAGAACCATGTTTATGCTTATCCCAAGCCAAGAGACATAGAACAACTTGAGATCAACATGTAAAAGGAAATTCAAAACATTCCACCAGAAACATTATCATATATGATAGACAATGTAGCAGTAAGGATGCAGTCTTTCATCGAAATGTAAGGAGGTTAAATTAAACACATGGAATAAGACAAAGACCGACCTAAAAATTTAGATTTGGAGAGAAAACTTACATGCTTTTCCTAAATTTACCATGCAAAAAATATCTGAAAAAATTGATTAATTTATCTTTGCTGTTGATATACCTTTGGGTACATTTTTTGAGACACCCTAGTAATAAAAATTGTATTTTTAATGTCACTGCCAATAATCTGACAAAATGAATGAAGGGGAGTCGATTTCTGCTAGAAAATTCAACAAAACGCCATCTCAATAAATGGAGACCATAATAATATGTCACCGCTTTTGATGGTGACATAAAAAACAGCAATGACATACATTTTGTGATATTACGTCATCAATTTGTATAAACAGGTCATATAGATATTCACGCTTGAAACCCAGCACAAATATTAATGTTTGACCTTTCATGATGTTTAAATAGATTGACGCCTATGAAGCAAATCAGTTAAAAAATTCATGTAGATGTTCACTGCTTGAATCGCAGCACAAATATTTATGTTTGACCATGCAGTCATGATGTTTCGCCTTTTTAAATAGATTGACGCCTATGAATCAAAAAAACTGTTTTGACCCCTGTCAATGATAGTCAAAATTACAAATACCTGTATCATTTCTATAGACCAATTAATACAGTGACATGGAAACTATATATTTTTCACTCAATAAGCTTGAATCAGCTTTGTTTCATTTTTGTTATTTTAGTGTTTTATTTATGATTTTCAAATAGTATCGTTCATAGTAGCTGTCTCAAAAGCTGAATTACTTTGCTAATACTAATTCAATTTTGAATCATTTTTATGTTGCTCATACCTCTTCCACTCATAGAATAAATGACAAAGAATGCAGAAACTACGCCATACAACCTCGGATCTAATAAATATGTTGCTATACTTGGAAGTTCTGAACCAAAAATAGATTGATGACATCATGATTTATGCAAATTAGCTCATTTGCATAATTGAATATCGTTACCATACCGGTTTTTCAATTCGGATCAATTTGATACCAAGATCTCCTCTATAGACCAAATAATGACAAAGCTACCAAACATTTCAATTCTAAGGTAAGATGTTTAAAGTTAATTGTTAAATGATAACGTTCATGGTAGCTGCCTAGAAAGCTTAATAACTTTGTTAGTTCTGATCCAATTTTGAATCTGTTTTCACTTTTGTGTTGCTTAAACCTTTTGCTCATAGAATAAAAGTCATGACCTTGAAGAAATTCTACCGTACGGCTTCAGTTCTTAAAGATACATTGCTATACTTGAAAATGCTGAACCAAAAATGGATTTATGACGTCACAATTTATGCAAATGAGCTAATTTGCATAATTGAATATCGTAATTATATGGGAAATTGTTTTAGGTTTAATTTGATACCAATATCATTTCTATAGACAAAATGATGACAAAACTACAAATGATTTAAGATTCCAAGGTAAGATGTCTATAGATGCGTAACCATGGTAACGGAATGCTACAATACAGAGCAACCAATGAGAGTTTGCAAGGGCATCCGGCAGAAAATTGAACCTCAAAGTGTTACCTTTCAAAAAAGTATGGATGCCATAAATTAACAGAGACGAACACGTTGGGTAAATTTTTGAAACGATTGAGAGGCATGGGTTTCTGACTATTGATCGCAGGAGGGGGAATTTTCATTGTTCAGTCCACTATATTGAACACTTAATACTAAGTCAGAAAACAATACATGTTGTTGATGAGTTTATTCTACAATAGGCCTATAGCCTATATGTTATGTTTATTTACATTTTGAACAATTTCATTATTTTAGTAAAAATAACTTATATTTTGGCAAAAACTTTGTAATACACTGACAGAATAAGTATATGATAGTCTTGTACAAAATCTTATGCTTCTCAAATGACTTATCCCATATTATGGTTATATAGCACTGCTTTACTTTTGCTTGAAAAAGTCCTTCATTGTTGTTTGTTTTTTGGCACTTTTAGCATTAGCAATATTTGAGTAGATATCCTCTTCAAGTAAAAAGAATTTTTCATGAGAATTCATTCGAGATGATGTATAATCCTCCCTTTGTAGGAGGCATTTTAGTGATAGGTTATTATGAAGAATTTTTTCTCTTTCTCGTGAAATCTTGTCTGCAATTGGGTCTGTGTTGTCTTTGTGATTATAAAACATTTACTGATTGAATCTTTGCTATCATAACAGATCCATGGGATATAACACATCTTAGACCTGTTCATAATCCAAATCAAAAATATCCAGTTAATTTACAATAAGGATAAACCAATTATCTCCCAGATTCTCACCTTTCTCTTAATCCAAATCGAAAACATCCAGGTAATTTCCAATAATGATAAACCAATTATCTTCTTGATTCACACCTTTCTCTTAATCCAAACATAAAACATTCAGTTCTTTCTAATATGATAAACCAATTAACTCCTGTATTCACACCTTTTCAAATCATCCTGTTGTTTTCCACAAATAAGGGATGTCACTGAGACTAAGTAAGTTAATTAGGACAGTATTGGTTCTTTGATTACATTGTACATGTATTTGTAAAGATAAATAACAACTATAACATTGACTCGATATGTGGCTGGCTATTATTGAAATGTCTAGACATTTGATTTCTGATAAAAATGTTCATATGAGACAGGTCACTTTTTCATATCTGGTTGTTCACTGTTCAGATTTGGGGGTGTTCAGATTTCAAGGTTTATTTAACATGGGAGTCAATGGGAGGAAAAAATGGGACAGAAAAAAAGTGTTCAAATTGGAAGGTGTTCGGATTAGCCAGGTGTTCAGATATACAGGTTCTACTGTATTGTGATAATAACGTCCCTTATACCTATTTATTACAGGTCGTGTAGACCATTGTTGCCCGATTTATAGCAAAAACATTGACTTTTGCACGTTGGTGATGATGCACCTTTTTTAATAGATCTCATATCTTAAAAGGGTATCAGTTCAATAAAAACACGAGATGACCTAACATATTTTGCCAAGCACTGCGCCTATTCATTTGGCAATTCAGTTGTAAATTTTCTCTTGAAAAAATAAATCTTCCAAATTTGTTGAGTTTTCTTGCAGAAATCGCCTAATTCCCCCTCCATCATTTTTGTACAATCACCAGGCGTGAGAAATTCAAATTTAAAAAGCCCGCTCAAATTTGTTCCAGTCTGATTGGCTTTTTCCTTCAGATTATTTTGGCTTAGAGAAGCCATATTTACTACTTCTAGGGGGTTACAATATAGATAAATCCCCAAAAAAACATTGTATTCTGTTTTCAACTTATTGCGTTCAATTCTGACAGTTGGTTGTTCATTTGGTTGTCCTGTTGATATCCTCAATATATTGTCGATATTGTGCTTATGATTTGGTCTCAAGATATATCTAAGGTATATATGATGTTTTATGAGCAATTATATTGGGACATTACTGATTGTCCAGAATAGAAATCTGGACGACTCGATCTCTTTAACGAAAAGTCATGTACTTTTTTTTAAATGTTTGTTGAGACTTCAAGATTACAGAAATTGATAAATCATGCTTAAACCATGATCTTTTTGGGGAAAGCAATCATGGGTTGTTCTGAGTAACCTTGTGATATTTTGAGCTATAAGTCTAATGAGAGAATATACAATGATGAACAAATGGAGAAAATGTTGTGTAGAAATACTCATGATAAAGGTGTTATTATGATGATTGTTCCTTCCATTGCTCAGAAGTTCGCCAGTCATCTAATTTTTTGAAGATTTCTAAATTTAGAATATTGATTAGAAAACGGAAAGCCATATGCATTAATTACTCCATTTGAATAACAATTAGCTCGGTGGTCTCACGTCAGAGTCGTAACTTGCCACGCGATTGGTCAGGGTTTGAATCTCGATGCTGCCTCTTTTATTTCTTTTTATTAACTAAATTGAGGTTTTTGATATTATGCAGAAAAAAAAATTTATTAACGAAGGCAACTTAATATTGAAGCAATAATTATGTTGTCAGTTTTATAAAGATATAAGAACATGACCAAATATTGCGTTTTCGAGCAATGTCAGCCTTTAAAGAAAGAAAGAAGATCAATTTAGAATATTTTTAATAAGTTTCAAACTCAGTTAAAATATACAAGAGCAGACTAGTGCCAATATCTGAAAAGGCATTTTGGCCATGCTGGTGCATGGTGGTCATTGTATATCAAGGTGCAATATTTACCACTATGTGTCTTCACTGTCTTGTTTGTATTTCAGGCGACTGGTCTTACTGGAATGGCTGTGGCAAAACATCCACATCAGGTGTGTGTACTTAATTTGCTTATTCTATAATAATTCAAGTGCATGAAATATATTTAATGGGCTAGTCTGCCTAGAATCATTGATGATTTGCTTATTATCCCACTTAATGAGGTTCGAGGGGGATATAGAAGCTGTCCATTCGTTCATCTGTCTGTCTCTTCATTCATCCATCCATTCATCCGTCTGTCTAGGCGATAACTGAAATACCAGTTGACGGATTTTATTCAAATTTTATAGGCTTATGCCTCATAGGTACATGTAAGATCTTTGTTCGAGAAGGAAATTTAAATATTGCTTGTCAGTTCAAAATGGCCACCATTTTTCATAAAAAATGTCATATTCGATTGGATAAAATGTAATATGATAATCCAGATACCAGTTGATGGATTTGATTCAAATTTTATATGCTGATACCAAGGGACAAAGGAGCTCTGCTCAAGAAGAAATTTTCAAGACAGCAGCAAAAATTGGCCACCATTTTTTGTAAAAAAATAATCTTTGATAACTCAAATACCAATGAACAGATTTGGTTAAAATTTTATATGCTGACACCTAGGGACAATGGAGCTTTGTTCAAGAAGAAATTTTCAAGATGGCCCCTTAATCAAGACATATTATTTTGTTCGTTGGGATTTGCTACTCCGTGGAGTTGCTGTTTCTAGTTGATTAATTGGTCAAATATATTGGTTAAATGATTTTTCAAAGGTAATTAGATTGACGGTTTGTGAGAAAATAAATGAAAAAATGAAAATAGAAATAAATGATTTTGGTATGGTGTTCTTACATTTATAAATTTTATGGTAATAATAAGTGACATTTAATTTTGTTTACAGAGTTTGAAGGTTCTTTACACCAAGATTCTAAACACATTGGGAGCCATGCCGCAAGACGCTATGTATAGGAAACACACAGAGACTATTGTAAAATCTAGACTGGCATTAGTCCTTGCAGTAAGTATACATGTATTATAACAGCTGTACTTTCTTACCAAATAACCCTGAAATATTTGTTTATGATATGTAACTAATATATAAGCAATAGACTGGGACATAACCTCTCCATTTTGTAATTATTGAAATTTAGAAAAAATGGTTCATGTGAAAGGTATATGAGCTGCCTTTTTAAATTGAAAGAAAGTCTTTTGTTTAAGTTAATGTTCTAAGTTAATATTTATGAACCTTTGGTGTGTCATAATTAAATTGCCATGTTAATTTTGGCAACAAGCCCAACTGCAAGAATGACAATTTTATGGAAGCAAGCCGCTAAATGCATTAAATCCTTGAATGTGATAGTCATCTCTTAGCAATGGGGGATTAAAAAGCATGTTTATGTTGGTTGGATCTTTGTGTATTGTCATTTCTTTTACATATTTGAGGGAAAAATTACTGGAATGTGTATCTGAAGATTATCTTTGATACTCTATATAAAGAAAGTGCAAGAAATCTTGGGAACAAATAATATTTGAAATACGTTTAATGGCCATCAAAATCATTTTATTATGTCACAACCAAGTGGTGACATATTGTTATGGTCTCCGTTTCTTTGTGACGGCGATTGGCGATCGGTGGGTGGCGGTTGGCGATCGGCGGGTGGCAGTTGGGATCTGTAACAAATTCTTAAAACTTTAAATACTGTTTAGACTGTCTTCAGTTTTTTCAAAATCATCAAAAGTTTTCAGGAGTTCAAATCTATCTTTATATTTAAAATTTGACCTTCAGTGACCTTTTCAAAGTAAAACAGGTCAAAAAGGTAGTTTTTTTACTTGCTTCAAATTGACCAAATTTTTTTTCAAAATCATCTAAAAGTTCTCAAAAGTTGAAATCTGACTAAAGATTTGACCTTTAATGACATTTTCAAGTTATCAGAAGTTCAAATCTGACTTTAGATTCATTGACCTCCTCAATTTCGAAAAAGGTCTTTTTTCAACATGTTTCAACTTGACCAATTTTTTCAAAATCATCTAGAAGTCCTCAGAAGTTCAAATCCGAAATTAGATTTGACCTCCAATGACATTCTCAAGGTCAAAAGAATATTTGACCTTCAATGACCTTCTCAAGGTTAAAAAGGTATTTTTTCAACTTACTTTAAATTGACCAATTTCTTTTTTCAAAATTATTTACAAGTTCTCAGAACTTAAAATCTGACTTTAGATTTGAGATTTCACCTTCAATGACCTTCTCAGGGTCAAAAAAGCTCTTTTTTCAACTTGACCACTTTTTCAAAATCATCTACAAATTCTCAGGAATTCAAATCTGACTTAAGATTATACTAATATATTGTGAGCAACTAGGTGGTCAGGTGACATTTTGTCATGTTAATGCGTTGTTTGTTTATTTATGATTTTTTTCAGTATATTGGCATATATTTAATGATTTACTAAATGATCAATGCAGACATCTGTGTAAAGTCCAGTGTGTAATATTTTATCTATATGATAAAAGGTGAAATATTTTTTGAACTATTTAGGCATGATAATATAATCTCCACGGAGTACAGTAATCTCACTTAACTGGTAATTTAAATATTCATTTCAAATTCGTTTAGAGTTTTTGTATGCAGAGGTATAACATTTTACATAACCAGAATAATGTACACTGTGAAACATGTCTAGTTAGGACAGTCAGTAGTTAAATTTAGAAAATCAGTACATGTAGTAAGTGCATTGAACTAATCAGTAATGCACTTGGAGAAAATCAGTAATGTACTCCAAGAAAACCAATTACAGCATTAGCTAAATCAATCGCATACGCTTTGTCTCCGTTGTAGAGTAGATCTCTCAAAGGCCTTGGTGATTCTATCTGAATGGCATCTATTGTACCAGCATATCTAGATCCATGATGCTTTGTTATGTAACCCCCTCGGTAATATCCACCACTCCCTGGAGATGGTGTATCTGGGGATGGAACAACTCTACTATTAAATGACAGATTTTCCCGCAGCATGAAGTGTCCCAAACTTTTATCTCCTCGTAGAATCTGCTCAAATGTGTATGAAGAGGTTGCTGCAAGGTTTTTGATGGATGAATACTCAGCCAAGACAGTGTTCTTGTTCAGGTTTGATTTTGTCAAACGATAACCAAGTTCCACCCAAGCTTCTGGGTGAGACTGAACTCCGTGAATGTCCAACAGTAGACCACTACTTGGTGATATTGCCAATTTTGCGTTATTGACAAATTCATGAAACTCATCATAAGCCCTTTTGGTTTCTGGTACGCCAAATGCTGCTTGATCTGCATCACGATTCGCATCCATTTTCCATCGACCAAGATTGTTCAGTATGACATGGGGGCGTTTTCCAGTTTTGGCCTCAATCTGATCTGCGATTAAAATCGCAAGATTGCGTGTATTCGTGTCTGTAGCCATTAAAACTTTACATTTGCTTCGTGTTGGTGTCCCGCAGTTATGTCTATAAATACATTGTTCAGTTTCATTATCGAAACAACCGTGTGTGCGGTTGGGCATTGTAGTTGGCGATAATGAGCCACCATGTGGGGCTGTCAGTATCAGCTTTGAATCTACTGAGCCAATCTGATATTCCACATACTGTTTCATACCAAACCTCGTCCTGTACCCTGTTACAAGTGTCATGCACTGCAAAGTGTTGAAGAGTATCAAAAATAATTTGACACGCATCATCATAATTATAGATTTTTTTCCTGTTGCTCAGTCACTGCCTTTATCTTGGTGGTTGTGTAGATAAGTAAAGACACGATGTATGTCTATATGTATGCTGTCACATTGATGATAGTCAGATACATAATTTATAGGTGTGCTTATCAGTTACCTGAATATCTCGTCCATGTATGATCATGATGGTTAAAGTTATTTTGAAAATTGGTGATGTACTACACTGGTATGGGTGAATAAAGTTGAAAATATTTTCCCCCTGTTTGAAGGTCTAGTCAAACTAACTCTCCTCCTTTTTTAAAAATATCTTTTAGTCTTATGTAAACCCACAAAATTTGGGCAACTGGTTTGTAAAATGTTAAAAAGCACACAGCTAGTCTTTTAATCAAAGTTTATACTAGATATAATTTTGTACAACCTATTATGTACCACTTGACATAAGTCTTAACAGCTTCTCATTGATAATAATAAAAAACACCTGAAAACTTATCTCATGGTGTCTATTGGGGGTCATTTTATACTTTATCTTTTAGTCATTATTATACCTTCAAAAATATGAATCTTTTGGAGGCTCTTTTACATTGCATTTTATATCAAACATTTGTACTTTATATTAAGCTCATGCACTTTAAATCAAGCATTTGTACTTTATATCAAACTCATGGACTTTAAATCAAACACTTGTACTATATATCAAACTCATGCACTTTAAATCAAACATTTGTACTTTATATCAAACTCATGCACTTTATATCAAACACTTGTACTTTATATCAAACTCATGCACTTTAAATCAAACATTTGTACTTTATATCAAACTCATGCACTTTAAATCAAATATTTGTACTTTATATCACACTCATGCACTTTAAATCAAACACTTGTACTTTAATTCAAACTCATGCACTTTAAATCAAACACTTGTACTTTATATCAAACTCATGCACTTTAAATCAAACACTTGTACTTTATATCAAACTCATGCACTTTAAATCGAACACTTGTACTTTATATCAAACTCATGCACTTTAAATCAAACACTTGTACTTTATATCAAACTCATGCACTTTAAATCGAACACTTGTACTTTATATCAAACTCATGCACTTTAAATCAAACACTTGTACTTTATATCAAACATTTGTACTTTATATCAAACTTATGGACTTTAAATCAAACACTTGTACTTTATATCAAACTCATGGACTTTAAATCAAACACTTGTACTCTATATTAAACTCATGCACTTTAAATCAAGCACTTGTACTTTATACCAAACTCATGCACTTTAATTCAAACATTTGTACTTTATATCAAACTCATGCACTTTAAATCAAACATTTGTACTTTATATCAAACTCATGCACTTTACATCAAACATTTGTACTTTATATCAAACTCATGCACTTTACATCAAACATTTGTACTTTATATCAAACTCATGCACTTTACATCAAACATTTGTACTTTATATTAAACTCATGCACTTTACATCAAACATTTGTACTTTATATCACACCCATGCACTTTAAATCAAACACTTGACTTTATATCAAACTCATGCATTTTAAATCAAACACTTGTACTTTATATCAAACTCATGCACTTTAAATCAAGCACTTGTACTTTATACCAAACTCATGCACTTTAATTCAAACACTTGTACTTTATCAAACACTTGTATTTTATATCAAACACTTGTACTTTATACCAAACACTTGTATTTTATCAAACACATGTACTTTATACCAAACACTTGTACTTTATATCAGACACTTGTACTTTATTTCAAACACTTGTATTTTATATCAAACACTTGTACTTTATACCAAACACTTGTACTTTATCAAACACATGTACTTTATACCAAACACTTGTACTTTATATCAGACACTTGTACTTTATTGCGAACTCTTGTATTTTATATCAAACTCTTGCACTTTAATTCAAACACTTGTACTTTATCAAACACCATTGCCAGCATTACTAGTCAGAAACCCATGCCTCTCTATCGTTTCAAAAATTTACCCAACGTGTTCGTCTCTGTTAATTTATGGCATCCATACTTTTTTGAAAGGTAACACTTTGAGGTTCAATTTGCTGCCGGATGCCCTTGCAAACTCTCATTGGTTGCTCTGTATTGTAGCATTCCGTTACCATGGTTACGCATCTATAAACATCTTACCTTGGAATCTTAGATCATTTGTAACTTTGTCATTATTTGGTCTATAGAGATGATATTGGTATCAAATTAAACAAAATTAAATTTCCCATAAACTATTGATATTCAATTATGCAAATTAGCTCATTTGCATAAATTGTGACGTCATCAATCAATTTTTGATTCAGGATTTTCAAGTATAGCAACATATCTATTAGAATTGAGGCCATATGTCAGAATTTCTGCAAAGTTTGGTCCTTTAGTCTATAAGAAGAAGGTATAAGCAACATAAAAGTGAAAACAGATTCAAAATTGGATCAGTATTACCAAAGTTATTAAACTTTCGAGGAAGCTACTGTGAATGTCATTATTTGACAATTATATTCAGACATCTTACTATGGAAGTTTAAAATGTTTGTAGCTTTGTCATTATTTGGTCTATAGAAATGACATTGGTATCGAATTAGACCTTATTAAATTTCCTGTACGATTACAATGTTCAATTATGCAAACTAGCTAATTTGCATAAATTGTGACGTCATCCATCTATTTTGTTTAGAATATCCCAGTTTAGCAACATACCTATTAGAACTGAGCCCGTATGACAGAATGTGTGCATAGTTTTGACCTTTATTTGATGAGTGGATGATATATAGGCAACATTCAGGAGACAACAGATTCAGAATTGGATCAGAATTAGCAGTTATTCAGTTTTTGGGGCAGCTACTGGGAACGACAATTATAAAAAGTTTTACAATAACGAAAAAAGAAACAAACATTGTTGTTTCAATCTTATTGAGTAAAAATGTACATGACTTGTTCATATTATTCCATTGAACTGAACATGTAAGTATGTGGAGATGTTACATGTATTTTGACTATCATTCACAGGGGTCAAAATCGTGTGATCTCGATCCTGTATTTTAAAATCCAATTTTATAATTTACCATACACTGTCAATGATTCATATAAATACATAGTAATGCTTTAATTATGCTATTTTGACATAATATGTTGACTAGTATACATATTAGTATTTACAGAAATTATATGGAGGAGTGTTCTTGGTTTCATTTGATTTCTAACATGTGAAAAAGCTGAAAACAAAATTTTGTTGATATTTGAACATAAGCTAAATACACCTTAATTACCATTTTATATTCAAAATACAGATAGAGTGTCAACATTAGAACATGTGTCAAGAATTGAGGGAGTCACATCACACCCTCCAGGATGCATTCCTTTGATGGAACTGTCACACTTAGGCCTTGTAGCTCAGTGTACGCAACTGTGTGAATACTTTCCGGCAGATGGTAGGGTACAGGGTACTAATATGACAACTACTTCAAGGGAATTTTGTAACCTTCAAAATCCTTGGTGATTCAACCTTAGAATGATTTTTGTTATAGCTTTTCTGAAAATGGACTATAAGCAACAGGTACTTCAGGAAGCAAATTGAAAAGTAGTTTTTTTATAATTTTACAAAGTATAACCTCTTTGATATGCAATGGAAAATGATAACCATATCCATACAAAGAGCTCAGTAGTAGTACTTGTAATCCTGAAATTAAAGTCTGTTGAAATAGCCACGAAGAAAAAATGCCCTTTAAAAGAAGTGATATTCGTAGGACTTTAAAGATGCATTATGCCATAGGTTTCTCCCCCAGACAATCAATGATGTCCTATTGTTATTGCTCATATAATATCTCACATACCATGGATATATCTTGAGAATAGCTTTTGGGTATATTATTGCCGAAATATCGGAAATAATCAACAGAACAACCAAACTCCAGAATTAAACACAATCGATTCCTCGGCTAGCGAGGGGAATCCCCATTGAGTCACACAAGCGCCTTGAACCAGGCAGGCAATCAGGTTTATGATAAATAGATTCAACGACCAATCAGATAACAGGATGACTTTCCTGGTATATTCAAACTTCAGATTGAATTAATTTCTTCGAAAATAATTAGATCAGCCAGCACAATCGCAAAATTAACACTGAAAGGGGGGGATTTGGGACTACTTCTTTGGTAAGTAAATGGGTATATATGTGGTGAAACTCATTATGCAAAAAAGTCCAGAGGGGTCTTGAATGTATTATCCTATGGCATAGAGCCTCTTTAACTAACCCTTCCTATATCTATATAGGTTTCCTACATCTCCAATGGAAGTATGTGTGGTATGGAACTTATTATCTAAACTTGTTTTAAAAGGTTTCCAAAATATAAAATATGTACAAATCTATGAACAGTAACAACATGAGATTTTGGTGCAAAATAAAGGAGTTAATCACGTAGCATGATTGACAGAGGTTGAATCAAACTATTTTAATATACTTTTTATAGTTTAGAAGCTTTAATATGGCATGAAAATAGCATACAGTATGTAGTTTAGGGAGCAGAGATATTATTTCATTGCATGGATTTAAATTATTTTCAGACAAGGGTTTCTGAAGATCTAATCAATATAACAGATTATATCAAAAACCAGGAGATCAATGTCACACAGATGATATTCGAGAGTCAAATCACACTGGTGAGGTGAACATGGAGATCAATGTGCATGACAAAGATGATGGATACATTGAATAAAAGCATCCCTGTCATGAAAGTCACCACTGAAATAGATACAAAAGAAAAACTCAACCACTGCCATATAGGTTCCGGACATGGATAATGGTACATGAAGATTATAGCATGAATGAATGACATATAGGTGATGTTAACGCGGATATCAATGTCACATGGATGACATGGTGATAAATCGTTAATTTGTTCAAAAAAAAGTTACACTATTAAGGTGATGTTAGTCACATGGAAATCAGTAACACTTGGATGTAGGAACTCTTGGGTTCACACAAGTCCTCACTATTCATTTCTACGCTTCATTAACACTTAATATAAAAATGCAATACTATCTATGAACTATAATAGCTTGGTATGATAAATAATATGAGGTGTCTCAAAAATGTACCCAAAAGAATATTAATGGCACAGATAAACCAATCAATATTTTCAGATATTTTTGCATGGTCTGAAGCATGTAAGTTTCCTCCCCATTACAAAGTTTTTAGTTCAGTCTTGCCTTTTTGATGATTTAACCCTTTACTTTTTATTTCATATTTCGATGACAGCCTATATCCTTTTGCTAGATTGTTCATTACATTTGATAATGTTTCAAGTGGAACGTTTTGATTTTCTCTTTGGGTGTTGGCCTTATGTTGTTCCAGGTCTTTTGGCTTGGGGTTAGCTTAAAATGCTCCTTCAAATAACCCCAAAGAAAGAAGTCCCAAGGTTGAAGATGGCAGAACAATCACAGAGAACCAGGTCAATTATCGTCAAATGATTTAGCGGTTAATTGATAATGGAGCTCCATCTGCCAGAGTTACGGAGACTGAATGATATACAAATGAGAACACTGTGGTTCCAGACAGTTTGAGTACCTCCATGTACAGCAAGGACCACACAAAAATTCTCATGAAAGCAGTTTCTTCTCTCTGTGTAAAGACATTGTTAGGGCCGCCCTATTCAACACATTTGACACCCCAAACATTTTCTCTGGGGTGACTTGAAGAACCATGTTTATGCTTATCCCAAGCCAAGAGACATAGAACAACTTGAGATCAACATGTAAAAGGAAATTCAAAACATTCCACCAGAAACATTATCATATATGATAGACAATGTAGCAGTAAGGATGCAGTCTTTCATCGAAATGTAAGGAGGTTAAATTAAACACATGGAATAAGACAAAGACCGACCTAAAAATTTAGATTTGGAGAGAAAACTTACATGCTTTTCCTAAATTTACCATGCAAAAAATATCTGAAAAAATTGATTAATTTATCTTTGCTGTTGATATACCTTTGGGTACATTTTTTGAGACACCCTAGTAATAAAAATTGTATTTTTAATGTCACTGCCAATAATCTGACAAAATGAATGAAGGGGAGTCGATTTCTGCTAGAAAATTCAACAAAACGCCATCTCAATAAATGGAGACCATAATAATATGTCACCGCTTTTGATGGTGACATAAAAAACAGCAATGACATACATTTTGTGATATTACGTCATCAATTTGTATAAACAGGTCATATAGATATTCACGCTTGAAACCCAGCACAAATATTAATGTTTGACCTTTCATGATGTTTAAATAGATTGACGCCTATGAAGCAAATCAGTTAAAAAATTCATGTAGATGTTCACTGCTTGAATCGCAGCACAAATATTTATGTTTGACCATGCAGTCATGATGTTTCGCCTTTTTAAATAGATTGACGCCTATGAATCAAAAAAACTGTTTTGACCCCTGTCAATGATAGTCAAAATTACAAATACCTGTATCATTTCTATAGACCAATTAATACAGTGACATGGAAACTATATATTTTTCACTCAATAAGCTTGAATCAGCTTTGTTTCATTTTTGTTATTTTAGTGTTTTATTTATGATTTTCAAATAGTATCGTTCATAGTAGCTGTCTCAAAAGCTGAATTACTTTGCTAATACTAATTCAATTTTGAATCATTTTTATGTTGCTCATACCTCTTCCACTCATAGAATAAATGACAAAGAATGCAGAAACTACGCCATACAACCTCGGATCTAATAAATATGTTGCTATACTTGGAAGTTCTGAACCAAAAATAGATTGATGACATCATGATTTATGCAAATTAGCTCATTTGCATAATTGAATATCGTTACCATACCGGTTTTTCAATTCGGATCAATTTGATACCAAGATCTCCTCTATAGACCAAATAATGACAAAGCTACCAAACATTTCAATTCTAAGGTAAGATGTTTAAAGTTAATTGTTAAATGATAACGTTCATGGTAGCTGCCTAGAAAGCTTAATAACTTTGTTAGTTCTGATCCAATTTTGAATCTGTTTTCACTTTTGTGTTGCTTAAACCTTTTGCTCATAGAATAAAAGTCATGACCTTGAAGAAATTCTACCGTACGGCTTCAGTTCTTAAAGATACATTGCTATACTTGAAAATGCTGAACCAAAAATGGATTTATGACGTCACAATTTATGCAAATGAGCTAATTTGCATAATTGAATATCGTAATTATATGGGAAATTGTTTTAGGTTTAATTTGATACCAATATCATTTCTATAGACAAAATGATGACAAAACTACAAATGATTTAAGATTCCAAGGTAAGATGTCTATAGATGCGTAACCATGGTAACGGAATGCTACAATACAGAGCAACCAATGAGAGTTTGCAAGGGCATCCGGCAGAAAATTGAACCTCAAAGTGTTACCTTTCAAAAAAGTATGGATGCCATAAATTAACAGAGACGAACACGTTGGGTAAATTTTTGAAACGATTGAGAGGCATGGGTTTCTGACTATACCATGATTTTATTACATGTGCACCCTTTTTAATTGAAATGACTATGACATGAACACTTTCAGTTGAGATGAGAAAGCACCTTTAAGTTGGCTTACATTCTTCCAATGCTGGTCTATCGACTCCTTGCGTGACATTCCTCAGAGACCAGCCTTGGAACTAGGTAACCTGGGCACATACCGTCAAAATCCAATGGCTCATATTCATGTAATTCAATGGCCCATATTCATGTAATCCAATGGCCCATATGTAATCCAATGGCCCATATTCATGTAATCCAATGGCCCATATTCATGTAATCCAATGGCCAGTTCATGTAATCCAATGGCCCATTCTTGTAATCCAATGGCCAGTTCATGTAATCCAATGGCCCATTCATGTAATCCAATGGCCCATTCGTGTAATCCAATGGCCCATATTCATGTAATCCAATTGCCCATTCATGTAATCCAATGGCCAGTTCATGTAATCCAATGGTCCATTCATGTAATCCAATGGCCAGCTCATGTAATCCAATGTCCCGTTCATGTAATCCAATGGCCAATTCATGTGATCCAATGGCCCATTCATGTAATCCAATGTCTTGTTCATGTTAGCCAATGGCCCATATTCATGTAATCCAATGGCCCATTTATGTGATCCAATGGCCCATTCATGTAATCCAATGACCCATTCATGTAATCCAATGGCCAGTTCATGTAATCCAATGGCCCATATTCATGTAATTCAATGGCCAGCTCATGTAATCCAATGTCCCGTTCATGTTAGCCAATGGCCAGTTCATGTAATCAAATGGCCCATTCATGTAATCCAATGGCCAGTTCATGTAATCCAATGGCCCATATTCATGTAATCCAATGGCCCATTCATGTAATCCAATGGCCAGTTCATGTAATCCAATGGCCCATATTCATGTAATCCAATGGCCCATTCATGTAATCCAATGGCCCATATTCATGTAATCCAATGGCCAGCTCATGTAATCCAATGTCTCGTTCATGTTAGCCAATGGCCCATTCATGTAATCCAATGTCTCGTTCATGTTAGCCAATGGCCAATTCATGTGATCCAATGGCCCATTCATGTAATCCAATGTCTCGTTCATTTTAGCCAATGGCCCATTCATGTAATCCAATGTCTCGTTCATGTTAGCCAATGGCCCATTCATGTAATCCAATGGCTTGTTCATGTAATCCAATGGCCCATTCATGTAATCCAATGTCTCGTTCATGTTAGCCAATGGCCAATTCATGTGATCCAATGGCCCATTCATGTAATCCAATGGCCAGCTCATGTAATCCAATGGCATTAATACCCACATCATTCAATGGCCCATTCATGTAATCCAATGGCCCATTCATGTAATCCAATGTCTCGTTCATGTTAGCCAATGGCCAATTCATGTGATCCAATGGCCCATTCATGTAATCCAATGGCTTGTTCATGTAATCCAATGGCTTGTTCATGTAATCCAATGGCCAAATCACCTAATGGCATTAATACCCACGTCATCCAAAGGCATATATGTAATCCAATGGCATATGTTCATGTCATTCAATGGCATTAATACCCACATCATTCAATGGCATACATGTAATCCAATGGCATATGTTCATGTCATTCAATGGCATTAATACCCATGTCATCCTGTATCTATGTAATCTGATATTTGTTTTTTTCTGATTTTAGGAACCAAATGCTCTTAAGTTGGAAGAAAAAATCAATGGTGGGCAAATTGAAGAAGTTGTATTACAGGTAATTAAAGAAGTTGTCAAACAGGGAACACAAATACATTAAAACCTGTAAATGGATCACCTTGGTTACATAAAAAGTGTTCCACTATTGTTCCACTTAAAGAGGTGTTTCACGTGACAGGTTTTAATTTACAATTCATGAACAAAATCAAGACTTAACCAGGTCGTTTTGACCTGAGGGCATGACTGTTTTTCCATTAATTTTTAGAATTTATTTTCTGACTTGTTAATATGACCAAGTACACAATGGACCTTTTCAATAAATCCAGTCATGTTATGTTACTCCCATAAAACAATGATATATCATTCATGTCATTATAGCTTAGGTAAAAGCCATGCTGTGCATGTAAAGTTCTAGCTATTTTTCAATATTAGCAGTAGGTTCAATCCAATGTTTGATTAAAACCAGTTGTTAACTCCGCAAAATACATTTTGAATCTAGCTAATGTTTTGGTTTTTGTGGTGTTTATATTCTGGTTTATGTTGAGTAGCAACAAATGTTAAGATTTACAGCAAAGGTCTATTGATCTAAAAATTGTCATGAAGATTCCATTTCAACAAAACAAAATTTGCATTTATTAGTAATAAAATTACAAATTGTCATTGGAGAATAATAATTCACTGCTCTATCACCCACTGTGTTAATATATTGTAAGTTTAATATCAGAAAATGTTCAATGTTGCTCTTCATTCCAGGCCGAGCGGGAGTTACTTCTTGCACGTAAAATGAACCAATGGAAGCCATGGGAACCATTAGAAAATGAACCCCCTAAAAATCAATGGAATTGGCCATTATAGAGGACAATCTAGGAAATACACATAATGCCACCATATTGGCTTTTATAGATAGAACTGTTGTATATAAATTATGAATAGCTCTAGGGTTCTCATTTGAAGGAACCTATTATCAGTTGCCTTCCCGGAATCCATATAAGACTCTCCAATGCAGAATACAGCTATTGAATGTACAATTTTGCAAGTTTTCATCCAACATAAACCTACCTTTCAATAATGTAGATGCCATGACAGTGTGTTTTCTTTCCGACTTGGTGTCTCAATATTCTGCACTTATTCAATTTAATAGGTTGTCTCATAACATTTTATTTGATGTGAATAACAATTCATTTAATCCTGTAAATGTGAATAAACAAAAGAACTAATATTAATTTATATTTTCATATTTATTTTTGTATTGATCAAGAATTAATAAGTATCTAACTGATGGAATGCATTTGGAATGGAAATGATCAGTTGTAAAGGTAGAATCAGACATGAAGGGGGTTATAAAATAGCAAGCTGTTTAAAAGATTTTCAACCAGTTCAACCTTTTCAAAAATAAATTTGCGCCATGGCAGCTTATCAAATGGTTGATGAAGATTAAGGTGCAGAAATGTGTTTATTCAACAATAAGCCCAAAATAATACAAGAACACAAATGTGTACAAAATGTCCCCACCAAGTGGTGATCCCGTGAAATGGTTATCCTGAAAATGAGTAGACAAGACTTTACCAACACAATTTGAGGACGGAAAATCCAAAGTGGCCACCTTAAAATTTACCCAGAATGCCAAAAATTTAGTCAGTTCTAGATTTTCATACTAAGAACCACCCCTGAAAATGTGAAATTGATCCGTCACACAGTTAACCAGAAAACATGTAAACAAGACTTTACAGACAAGATTTCAGGATGGAAAATCCAAAATGGATGCCTTGACATTTACCCAGAATGTCAAAAAACTAATCTGTTTGTAGATTTTCATACTAAGAATCATCCCTGAAAATATGAAATTGATCTACCAAACGGTTCACCTGAAAACGGGTAGACAAGACTTTACAGACAAGATTTTAGGACAGAAAATCCAAAATGGCTGCCTTAACATTTACGCAGAATGCAAAAAAAGTAATCAGATGTACATTTTCATACAAAGAATCATCCCTGAAAATTTGAAATTGATCTATCAAACCGTTCTCCTAAAAACGTGTAGACAAGACTTTACAGGCAAGATTTTAAGACGGAAAATCCAAAATGGCTGCCTTGACATTTACCCAGAATGCAAAAAAACTAATCAGTTCTAGATTTTCATACTAAGAATCATTCCTGAAAATTTGAAATTGATCTACGAAACGGTTCACCTGAAAACGAGTAGACAAGACTTTAATGACAAGATTTTAGGACGGAAAATCCAAAATGGCTGCCTTGACATTTACCCAGAATGCCAAAAAACTAATGAGATCTAGATTTTTATACTAAGAATCATCCCTGAAAATTTGAAATTGATCCACCAAACGGTTCACCTGAAAACGCGCAGACAAGACTTCACAGACAAGATTTTAGGACCGAAAAATCCAAAATGGCCGACAATAAAAAAGTCCTTATGAGTTTTTGCTGATTTCTTTTTACAAAATTATCACATATAACTACTGTTAACAATAAAGTAGGCTTTTACAGCAAAGTACATCTGAAATTATTTATAAAGCTACTAAATAGTTAAAGTATGAAAACTCAAAAACACCATTCAATATGATACAAAGTATTATCGCGCGCTAACTTTTCTTAAGACATTCAAAATAGCTGACATGACTGAGCTAGCAGGTCCAAAACCTAATCAGATCTAGAATGAAGTGAGCTGAACAAGATGTTAAAGTTTTAAAAGCAACTGTGAAGCAGTTTTTCTTAAAGTTTGCAGACAAGGATTTTAGCATTTGACTTCAAAATGGCCGACAGGAAGTAGGTATCGAGTTAATTTTTTTTCATCCACATCTGTATGCACTCATAAGTTATCCCTGAAAATTTGAAGGTGATATCTGTAGCGGTTTTGGAGAAAACTGCCGGACGTACGGACAGACAGACGGACAGACGGACAGACAGACGGACGCGCCTAGGCCGACAATATGGCCCCACACTATGTGGTGGGGACATAAAAAGTGAATGTCCATGTTTTTTGAAGACAAGAAATGTTGAAATCTGTATATTTTCATGAATTAGATATATTCTGAATTTTGTGTATAAAATAAACATCACAAGAAGATTTGAAATTGAGATAATGTTTGGGAAAGTTACTTGGTACTGTACGATCTGATTCTACCTTTGTATCCAAAAAGTTAAATTCAGTATTAGCCTCTCAGTATATTCATATCCATATGGTATACATGTAGTTCTAAAAGTACTTCACTGCTATATGAGAGTATTGAAGGTATATTCCTTGGCAGACCATCTCTCCTAATAATAGAATCAATGACATCACTTCCCGAGTGAAATCTTAAAAGATGGCAGCCAACTGGAATTGAGCACTACATTTTTAATCCATATGTGATTAATATTGACCATATAAAATATTTTTTCGATGTTTTGCTAATCATGGAAAGTATATACAGGGTGAGCTAAAAAAGGTAACCCAAACAAATTTTAATAAATCTGTCATCCTGCATGGGTTAAGTGTCTTATTGGCCCAATGAGGTCTTGTCCAATGTATTGTCATTCTACCAAGTGTCAGTGGTCTATCTCTAGTGGTCACGATTTTATGGCCATAAAATATGGGCGTCGTGTCTGGAGGCTAACTTGAACGTATCGGGCGTAGTTGTTCACAACACAAGCATAAACATCTTGTGGTATGGCTCTCATTTTACTTCTTATTTCTTGTTTCAATGTTTCAAGGGTTGTTAGTGTAGAAAATATGCCCATAGATAATGAAAATCTGGTGGGATTTATGTCCAGTCAGTGAGGCAAATTTCAGCATTTTGAGCATGTTTTATAAATGGCCATAAAATCGTGACTATTAGGGATATACCAATGACACTTAGGAGAATGAAAGGACATTGATCAAAGTTTAATTGTGCTGAATATGATTTCAAACCCATGCTGAATGACTGAGTTATTAACATACATTTGTTTGGGTTACCTTTTTTTGGCTCACCCTATATAAAGATGGTCTGACAAGGAATATAAGTTCAATATGTATTTGAGGATCATGTAATTAAACAGTCTCTAAAAATTACTGCCTGCCACAAATATTTAATCTTCAAACAACACAATTTACTTGATCCAAAAACAATCAATATGACTTTTTGGAGTCATTTTCAGTAAATTGGATAGACAAAGTACAGGGTGGCCAATAACATGGAACTCTTTAATTATTTAATTACTTTCTCAATTATGATTTTATTGTGTAGATGCTCATTGGGACATGCATTTTATTATTCCACCAGCATTGAGAAAGTGATTACAAAATTTGCATTTCTGAGTCCCTTGTAAGATATACAATATACAGGGTGGGCCACACCATTTTGACAGTTGAGCATTTATACAAAGATTCTTTATATTGTTTTTGTCAGGATTGTTGCAGCCTATACCATTATACCACTCCCACAGCATCTTTAAATTACCATTGAGTGGCATTATTGCTCGTTAAATAATACTGCTATTATTTCGAAATGTCATCATCTAATGATCTTATACAAGTAATCCAACATATCTTGACATACTATATTGCACATTATAATTGCATTTTGACACCCTGTACTGACATCATTGAAGGAATTGCAATCAAACTGATCCAAAAGTCAATATTTTCATTTGAGAAATGAGACAACTGACAGCTTATTTATTACTAAATTTAAGGTGGGTAGAATGTGAGAACTTTGGAGTCTCACATGTGTCAATTGAGCTACCTTAATCGAATTGGCAGAAAGAGTGATTTTATTAAAAAAATATGTTCTTTCTCATGTGGCAAATCATTGATCTTTTGACAAGGTGTTCAATTTAATATTTACAAGGTCTCATGGATGGATGTTAGCAGACACTCAGGGCAGGCCATAGGTTTATATTTGTTATGCCTGTAATATTCTGTAATCAGGGAGCCTGTTTGGGGAGCTGGGATACCAATCTGGCCCAAATCTTCGTCCCATTTTGTTATCACACTCTCAATGAACATTACCCGATCCAAATTGTGGCCGCATGTGAATGCAACCAACTCTTTAGATTTTTTACCACTCGTAGGTATACTAAAATCATTTTTCTCTGTCGTGAGTTCTCTGATTTTTTTAGCTGGTAAAATCACATAGTTTTTTGACTCCTCAGTTTTGATGTAGCTTTGAGTGATATCTTGCCAGAGTTTCTCCGGTGATGATGTGATTTCAAGCACTGAGATATCTATGCTGTCAGTGTTCTCTATGTCCAATAGATGGCTGAAGTGGCTTAGTGATCTCTCATTGGTCATATCAGATGTGGCGATTCTTGTAATATCAATGAGGAATCCTGGTGTGAATTGGCAGAGTAAAGGATTATTTATAGCCCTAAAAACAGAACAGACTGATTAGTGATGAATACAGTATATTAAAGGATTCGATTGAATAAGGGAGTTCAGTGACTTAACAATAATGTCTTAGGTAATTAAAATGCAATTAAAATAACAAATCTATTGAAACTATCTGATGAATGAAATAAGATGTCATAATACGACTAAAGAAAAAAGTAAAAACATCAAAAAATGTCCATTGACAATGCTAGCCTCCAGTGAGGATTGAACTCACGACCCCTGCTTTACGAGAGCAGTGCTCTGCCACTGAGCTATAGAGGCTTTCGTGACGACACGGGAAAATCCATTACCTATATAGTACTTTATCTTTGGATGATGCTTAAAAATCATTTTAAAACAAGATTTTAAGTAAAATTGCAAGTTTTGTCGATCGAATTTAAATAAAAGCGTAATACAGGTATGCAATTCAAGATCTAAGTCAGAGCCTGGCGTGTAAAAATGTACAAATCTATTTCGTGACACGAGCCACGCATTCATGTTTGCGAATCCTACTTTTGAAAAAATTTACAATAAAAATTGAATCGGTTATATCATCATTTAAAGAGAAAGTACTCATAAGAGTAAGTCTTTATGATTCTTTAATGCTAATATTATTATTATCTTTTAAAATATTCAATTACGATTCATTATTTTTCTTAAGGGTATTGTATTAATACCGTTTTGTGTGATCGATTTTTATATTAATCGTGGGTGATAATAGAGTAGCCCAATCGTTCAGAAGCAATGCATCTATATTGCCATTTTGGATCACACGAAAATGTGTTTCAGTAGGAGATTTTCATTAAATAGCTCTTACTTTTTAAAATATAAAGGACAGTCAACTGAAATCCCCAACTCTGTCTACACAATCTAATGAGGTGAATGTTTCAAGGTGACCTCCAATGCCAATATTTTCTGTCCCTATATCTTGACACTGTTGTCTCCAAGTGTCACATCTTTCAAAGATTGTTCGACTGGTCTCATAGAACAGCCTTTGCTCCTGGAGATGGAGGGAACATTTGGAGATATAAAGCAAGCAGCTGAATTTAGAAGCTGGCTCAATTCTCTTTATTGTTGGCGATCAAAGGCTGTTCTATATGTTTATCATACCAGTCCATCATTTGAAAAAGGTAACTCCAAGTGCATTAACATGTGCAATAGTATATTTATCATTAGTAGAATCCAAGAGTTGCACTCTAGACAGACTGTGCTATATGAAAACAACCGGTGTTGATATAATGTGCCCAAGGTGCAGATATCAACGATCATATTTCAATTTGTGATATTTCATAAACTATGGCATGTTACGTACTCCAATTATATTCACCCATTTGTAGAGGATACCAAATAAAAGGGAAATGTTGTCTATGGTTGTCTTCTTCATTCTTTAACGATGCACTAAGCATTCATCCTTCTCCATAACAAAGAGTTTGCCGCTCAAATACATTGTTTACAGCCTCCAATCAGTATTGGTGATCAAGAAGACCCATTGATATAAATTATTTTTGCATTTTGAAAGTCAAACTTTCTGTGTGAATCTTTAAAATTGAAAACATTTATCGGATATGTCCTACCTCTAAACATGTGGTGTGGATATTGTCACTTTACGTATATCCAAAATGCTTGTTCGTGTGTTGCTATAGAATGAAGTACACGCCTATTTACACAATTTCCATTTTATTAGAGATCCTGTACAAACGTATGGATATAATCGAGGGCCCAACATGCCTTAGTTTGTGAAATATCATGAAACCAAATTCAAATGAAGGACCCACGGTCCTATGCTCACACAGTTTGGAACCTTCAGAGGAATTTATATCCTGACTTTCAAACAAAAATATTGATTTGGATTTGTAGTCTCGAACTTTGAGAAACTTAGATTGCATAGTTATGTGACCTAGTTTGATGACCTTTGACCTTGAAAATTTTACTTGTTCAGAGCTCAGTAAGGTATTTTGTGATTAAGCTGACCAAAATTTACATCCAAAAATCAATTTGAAAAATCAACTTTTTTGACCTTTCGAAGGTCACTGAAGGTCAAGTAAAGGTCAAATCCTAAAACTAATGTCAGATTTGAACTCCTGGCAACTTGTAGATGATTTTCAAAAAAAAATTTGGTCAAATTGAAGCAAGTTGAAAAATAACTTATTTTTACTGTTTTTTGACGTCAATTATTTCAAAAACGGTAAAAATTTGATGCTGACATATATTAAGAAATATGTAGGGAATGCTTAAATCAATTAATGATGTAATTAATTGAAGGAAATGAACAAGTATAAGGCAAACTTAAAGAATCTTGTCAATCACAAAACCTGCCATTGACTTTATACATGAGAAAGTTTCCTGAAAATGACTAAGTCCTACTTTTTTTCAAATTTTATAGAGTAAACACCAAAAACCGTAATTCCAAGAGCTTTGAAATCTTCAGAGGACATAAGTTGCATATACACCAACTACTAAAAGTTATTTGAAAGTTCTACTTCAACAAAGTGTCTAGTATTTACAGAAAAGTTGACTTTTTGACGTCAAAATCAGCAATTTCTCGGAAACCGGTCAAACTTGGGAAATGGCGATGATAGGTCAAATAGGCATTATGGATATGCATAAAATGAATGTAGATATGACTCAATCCGAATAGCAGTTTTAATTTGTGCGGCCAATGTTGACGGACGGACGGACGGACCAACGGACGTCATTTGTTGTTGCTGCATTGGTTTCTTCATTCATTTTCTTCTTTCATTGTCTTGATTTGATTGCGATGTTACTTATCTTTCTTCAGGGTCCACAGACTTGAGACTGCGCATAGGTGGGTTAAACGTTTTGATCCGGCCGGAAAACTCTCCCCTTCCCCTTACTGTTGGTCTTATGCTGATTTGTCATCTTAGTTTACCCTCTTTGCGGAGAAGATACTGTTTCATATTCATTTGTTAAATGTTCTCTTCTCTCATTAATTTTCCAGTCCTTCATGATGATATTCTCCTGCATATTGTATTTAGTACATATCCATTTATTTCTTGTTATAGCTTTCTTAGTATACGAATTTAGTATGTTGCTCCTGTAGCCTTGACATTGTAGTTTATTTCCCAGGCTGGTAACTCTGTTTGTTGCATCTTCCAGTTGACTGCAGATTCTTGAAATCCTTATTATTTGTGATATAAATATTCCATAAGATTGGTTTCTAGGAATATTTCCAGATAGATCAGGATATGAGACTATTTGGAAATTGAAGTTTTCCCTTTTGTCGTATAGTTTTGTAGTGATTTGTTTATTTACTATTTTCATTTGTATGTCCAGAAAAGTTGTTTCTGTATCCTTCTCATTTTCCTTGTTTAACACTAGTTCTTCAGGATAGATGTTCTTCATATCAGTCTCCATTTCTCCGTCGTTGTTTATAGTACATAAATCATCGATGAATCTTGTAGTTTTAGCATATTTTAGTACTTTGGAGTAGTCTTCCCTATACATTTTCTCAATGGCTTGAAATTTATAACTGTATAAGTATAGGTTTGCCATATATGGCGCCGGATCGATTCCCATCGGTATTCCAATTTTCTGTCTTAGAATTGATTTCCCTGCTTTAAAGTAGGCTGTATCCACGATGAAATCCACTAGATCATTGCACTCTCCTTTGGTATATGCCTTTTTATTATCCGCCTTTCCACCCCATTTGGCTTCATCTCCACCTACTGTTATCTTTTGGTTAGTTCCTCCTCTGAAGGCTTTATCTATCACCCATTTCAGTTTTTCCTTTATGTCAGTTAGATTAATCTTTGTGTATAGTGTAGAGAAATCATACGAGGCTATGTTTCTTGCCCCGTTCCTTAAATTTACACTTTTAATGTTATCTAACATATTTTGGTTATTGTCACTAATCCACATCCTATTGGCACCTGTATAATCCTTAATCTTCTCACAGTATCTTTTGTTAGTATATTGCACTAGTTTAAGAATTTTGGTCAGTTTTTTGGCAGCTGGTTTTACAGAACTTTTCTTTGAGCCAATGATATATCTAAATTTAATTGGCTGTTTATGCATTTTAATTGTAAGATGAATCCTTGGTATAATATTTTGTTCTTCTCCCGGTTCAATCTTGAATTTTGTTTTCATTGTCTCTTTGATTTCCTCCACTATATCTTCTTCTCCTTTATCTTCTATCCTTTGATAGGTGTCACTCCCAATTTCCTCTTTAATCTTCTTTATGTAGTATTGTTTGCACATAAACCCAATATTATTTGCTGCCTTATCAATAGGTACAATGGCATATTTTTCCTTGAGTTGATTGAGTTCTTCCATATCATTATGGTCCTTTAGTGTCTGCTTTGGATTTTTAATATGTCTAAATTTTGTATTTTGAAGTAACTCAATCTTTTGTTTAACCTTTTCCATTACAGTATTTTTCCATTCATTTAAGTATACTTTTGAAACTTTTTCATTTTTTGTCCAACTCATTGCATATTCATCTATTCCTTTCTTTATTTCTTCTTTTGCTTTCCTGAAGTTAATGTTTCGTTTTTCTCTATAGCCAGGACCTTTACTAAATAGCTTTCTCAATTTTGAATTTTGTATAATCTTCAGATTTCCTGTTATGACGTGACCATGGTCTTCATCCTTAAATTCAGATGTATTACAATCACATTCTCCTGTATTGTTGCCTTCGTCGATACTTTCTGTGATCTCACTATAGTTGAACAATTTATTCCTTATTGGCTTTGTGTATATATAGACAATTCCTGGTGGTTCCTTATTTTTGATACTTGAAGGTATTGTCTTGATCACTTCTTCATCTCTTAAGATATTTGCAATGTTGATTACTTCTACTGCTTTGTTTTCAAATAGTATTTTACAGAATTTTGTTGGTTTCTTTTTCCTATTCTTGGTCTTTAGTTCATTGTTTTTCCTAAGTTTTGATTGGATTCTGTCCTCCAGAGTAATTTTAAGTCGTGTGTGTAGTCTATTATTATCTTCTATATTTATCATTCCAAGTTTTTGCCAAAAATGACTGTTAATATCTGCACCATGCGCATATTATATCCGCAATGCTTGTTTTCATATAGCACAGTCTGTATAGGGTGGTTTTCTATTGGTTTAACCATGTCACCAAGAATACAACAACAGCACATTCATCAACCTTTGGATTTATAGCACTTAGAGGGGTATCTGTCCATAGGGAATGTCAAAACAGACTTCATTATAGATGAGAGGACACTACGAGCTAAGCCTCCAACTCTTCTAAGGAAATGATGATGATGAAATATTTGCAATATCTGCTACAGATATCTGCAATATTAGCTACATTTTCAAAAGATTTTTGCCAGGGTGCATTTTGCTCCCCTTTATTATGTATACAGTACCATGTAAAAATCTTGGAAATGTGAACAGATATTTTTATTTTTCATCTTATAATTTAATTTCAGGCATATTTTAAGGATCCTACAAATTTGACACAAAATAACTTCATAATGGATTATTTGACACAGGATATTTTGCGGAATATATCTTCCATTTTGACGCCTGTGGGTTTCGAGACACACCCATTTCTTGTTGGTTGGTACAATGAACAAGTCAAGGATGTCTTCAAGCTTGGATACCAGAATGACACACTGGCCATTCTTATAATCAGTACACCTTCCATGTATGAAAAAGCCTTAAAACCATTTATATGCAGAGACCAATGCACAGGCATAAAAGACCCCATAGATGAATGTGTTGCACATCATTTTGAAGAAGTGAAGAAGAATTTTCCTGATTTAGAAATAGAATGTATCCATGACTTTGAGATGACACCCATGCGAAGACCTAAAATTCTTGTGCAGACGGCAGGTCATGTTGCAGGAGCTGCATATTACTATCAGGTACATGTATGAATAAAGGCTGTCCCATATAACTATAAGGCATGTATAGGGTGTCCCATGCTATACTATTTATAACTATCAGATTTATACAGGGTGTCCCAAATCTGTAACTTGTTCTCATATAAGACTTACTAATTCTTAGGTAAAGAGGCTCATATAATTATGAGACTGAGCACAGTATGCGCTTTGAATATGTATGAGTTTTTTTTAATGTTTTTTTGCTTTGTCCATTCACAAATATCAAAAATACGGATTAATTTAACTGTACTCCATTTGATGTATGAATTTATGTTTTTTCTCCACATGTACATGTAATGTGTCATGCATGTACATGTAATGATTGTAATGTGTCATGCATGTACATGTAATGATTGTAATGTGTCATGCATGTACATGTAATCATTGTAATGTGTCATGCATGTACATGTAATGATTGTAATGTGTCATGCATGTACATGTAATGATTGTAATGTGTCATGCATGTACATGTAATGATTGTAATGTGTCATGCATGTACATGTAATGATTGTAATGTGTCATGCATGTACATGTAATGATTGTAATGTGTCATGCATGTACATGTAATGATTGTAATGTGTCATGCATGTACATGTAATGATTGTAATGTGTCATGTATGTACATGTAATGATTGTAATGTGTCATGCATGTACATGTAATGATTGTAATGTGTCATGCATGTACATGTAATGATTGTAATGTGTCATGCATGTACATGTAATGATTGTAATGTGTCATGCATGTACATGTAATGATTGTAATGTGTCACGCATGTACATGTAATGATTGTAATGTATCACGCATATACATGTATTTTCAGAAAAAGGACATAGATAATCCACCATGGCCTGAGAAGCAGAAGATCTGTGGAGTTAGCATCCATCCTAAGTATGGAGGTTGGTTTGCTTTGAGGGGGGTCTTCATTCTGAAGAATGTTCACTACCAAGCACTTGAGCGAAAATCTCCAATAGACATTATTACAGACAACCAAAAGAAGATTCTACTCTTGGAACGATTTAATTTTCATTGGAAGGATTGGAGTTTTAGAGACATCATCCAATCAGAGCAGAAATACTCAGAGGAGCAAAAACTCTATTTTGAAACACCACCTGCAGAAAGATGGCAATTGCTTGGAATTGAACGAAAATGATTCAAAACAAAACCTCTATATCTTACAATACCTCTCTAAGGTTAACACATGTATCTTAAATAGATCAATGTTTATTAGGGAGACAGGTTTCAACTCATCTCATTCTCATAGAGGATCTAGCTTATTTCAGATAGATAGGGGTATTTACTAGTCAGCTAGTGAGCTGTCTATTTACATTTCCCCTAGGCTATATCTTTCTGTTGGACTTAGTGTATGCTTAAAACATGTCTCTGGTTGAATATTTTTGCAAGTAAATTACCTTACACTTTACAAGTATATTACTTAACACTTTTACAATAGCATTTTACATTACTGAACACTTTTAAAAGAATATTACTGAAGACTTTCAAAAGAACATTTACTGAATACTGTACATTTCACTTTACATGTATATAGGATCTACTGTTCAATGGTTGGTGTACATTTATGATATATTATTATTATTATTTGATATGATAAGGGTATTATTAACATGACATTGCTTTCTAAACTCTATTTATTGATATCTTGTATATAGACCTTGTTATTAATAAACAATGATACAGTTGTGCAAAATATATGTTATATTATTTTTCATATATTCTCCATGCTCAATCATATGCCCCCTCAATACTACGCCTAATAAGCCCCCAACCCCGCCCCTTATTCATCTCTAACTACCCAGTACCAAAATGCAATGTACTAGTATGTTAAGTCGAGAAACTCATAAATCAACATAGAACAGCAATGAATGTGTCAACATTATGAAAAGCATATTTTTCAAGAACAGATGTGTTTTTGTCAACATATGAACAAATCTCTGGTATGAGAGATGCTAGTACAGTATTTGTGCTTACCTAAACAGCAGCCTTGCAAAAGCATTTGCAACAAGTTTGATATGCGAGCTTAAGATCTTCTCAAGAGAACTCACAGGTAAATCGTTATCGCTCCAGAAATCCAACACCTATCAATGAGCACAATAAGAAATATTAATAAAGAGAAAATGAACAAGATCCATGATTCATTTTTAAATCAAATAAAGTGCAATTCCAAATATTCCTTGTATGCAAGAGCTGAATCATGGGACCATTTAACAAGAATAAGCTTTTAGTTGAATTAATTCCAAACTTTGACAAATCTTTTTTTCTTCCCGATATTGACTCATAGTTAAAATGAATAGGCAATGATCTTCCCAGCATTACAGCAACCAGGTACTGCATTATGTGGGAAATTTGAAATTTACACACTACCCCACTGAAAATCTGTTTGCAAAATGTCAAAATGATGAAATATTGATATACTCTACATGTAATGTATTTTGATCAAAATAGGTTAAATTAGAATTTTGCACTGTTGAGAAAAAATATTATATTACCTCGTCTAGAATATATTGCACTGCTTCCTCCTGTGAGTCAATGTTTCCATGGATACATTGAGACACCAGAGTGGTGTAACATTGCACTGTTTGTTCAACTATTGACTGGAAGTCCCCATCATTCATGTTATCTTTCACTGCATGGGCTGACTTCAATCTGAACTTAAGAGCCTGCAAAATGCAAATTGATGAATATTAATATATGTTGAGACACCAGAGTGGTGTAACTTCATTGCGTGGGCTGACTTCAATCTGAACTTAAGAGCCTACAAAATGCAAATTGATGAATATTAATATATGTTGAGACACCAGAGTGGTGTAACTTCATTGCGTGGGCTGACTTCAATCTGAACTTTAAAGCCTTTAAAACGCAAATTGATGAATATTAAAGAGATGATGGCCACCAGAATGTAAAATGGCCACCAAAAAGTTAATCACCTCTAGAACTTCTTACCATGAATAATGTGTGAAAAATTCATTAAGTGGTTTTCCTGGAATCGTGATGACAAGATTTATCGAAAAACATCCAAGATGGCCACCAGAATGCAAGATTGCCACCAAAAATATAATCAGATCTAGAACTTCTTATCTTGTAATATGTGTGAAAATTTGAACGAAAATCCATCAAGTAGTTTTCCTGGAATCGTGATGACAAAATTTATCGAAAAACTTCCAAGATGGCCACCAGAATGCAAGATGGCCACCCAAAAGTTAATCACCTCAAGAACTTTTTACCATGTAACATGTGTAAAATTTGAAGTAAATTCGTCAAGTGATTTTCCTGGAATCGTGACCACACCCGCCAAGCTGACGACAATATGATACCTTTTTTAGGTATGAAAAAAAGGAAGATTCATCCTGTTAAACAGACGAATAAACAGCAGTAAAATGAATTGTAAATTCTCATATTACTCCAAACCTACAGTACAGTATTTGTTTCAAACCTTACCTGAGTGTATTCACATTTTATGTGGTATGTATCTGCTACAGTTTGCCAGTTCTCCAATGACTCACACAACTCTAGCACCTTCTTCAAATTGAAAAACTGTGGCAGCTTCTGGAAATGCAATGTGATACAAACTGACCATCTGTCAATTGCAGAGTTCATATTAGGGTGATAATGTCATCTTTTTAATGCCATTTTTGGCCCAATATGGTATTTCTGATCCAGGAGTGGTCGTAAGCCATGTTTTGTAGAGAATGAATGAGATATTTTTAATCAAATATGATGGCTGAAATTTAGTCCTCATTTTTAATGAGTAGTTCTGTCTCAACATTACCCCTGTTAAGTTTGACAAAACCCTCCTATTGAAGATACAGTGCATCCAGCAGAGGGACACAAACTAAACCTTTGCCAAATTTATACTTCAATCATGTGTTACAGGACTCATTGAGTCAAATTTTGAAAGAGTACATTTTCTAGTTATGAAAAATTTGAAACAGCAAACCTAGGGGAAAATATAAAAATTTCAGGAAAGAATGAAAATTATAGAGGATGTTGTTTCTTTGGAGGGATTTAATATATGGACTTTTTTCCGAGGGACAATATGATATTTCGACAATATGATCGAGAATGCATATTCAATCCATCCAAGTAAATAAGCGTTTTATCCCACGATATTAAAATCAATATTGTTCAATACCACAAATACCAGGTAGTATTCACCAGGAACTAGCAACATCATGAGATGAACAAAGATTAGAGATTACGAGGAAAAAAATATGAAAATAAGAGAAATAATAAGAATTTGTAAAGGATATGAATATCAGATGCAACACTGTACCTTATAAATGTATGGTGCTATGCAGATATCATATGGCACATCCAATGTGGCAGAAAAGTTGGGAAGGATCAACTCTGGGGGGTGATATTCGTATAAGTCATCAGACCACTGAAAAGAGGAAACAATGTATCATATACAATACATGTCATATGTCAGATCTGGTCAATATGTGTCATCATTCCAGATATTGATTTAAATATAAAAGTAAACTTCATATTCCAGAATGGGCCAGGGCTCAACCTATGTTCTGTGGGAATCAATCTTGGCTTACAGACAGTCAATTTCTCCACTGATTGGCTTCACTCTGGCAGGATCTTTAACCCACATAATCTGAACCTGGTGACTTGATCTGGTCTGAGCAAGGTTGAGTCATGATCAAAGACTTGCAATCTAAATGAATATGAGAGAAAACAAGTGACTCACTACTCACCCAATGTTCATTTTCCTGGCTGTATCCAATACTGCTCATGAACCCTGGGAGTTCACCTCCAGTGGGAAGATTTTTTACAATAGATGGCACCACCATATCAATCATTTGTGTATTCCTCTTTGACCCAGGGTACTGTGAAACACAACTACGCCCAACAATACCCGCCTTAAATAAAATTTTAGGATATATAAAAATGCATACTCCTAAACGGTGTAGCTGAATAATACATCTACTGTAGGTAAGATTCATGAAAAAATGCCTTGGTCCTACTGAGCGAAACACTTGCATTCATAAAACTATAAAACTAAATAGATTGATTCTCACAAACCTGAGTGTACTCATTCTTCCCCCAAGCAAACACTGTCCCCTTTGTATCAAGACATATGGTATAATCTGCTCCACAGTCCAGTGCTGCCACCTTGTGGTCATTGATCTTGACAACCATGGCAGGTTCCCTCTGAGGAAAAATAACAATAAATAATTTAGTTCTAAAATGCATTGACAATAGCAGAGCTGCGAGGACAAACCATCAGAACTTGATAACCTTTTCCAGCAAAAAATATTCTGGGCTTTGAAAGTATTAAAGGAAAGCTATGTTTAGCAAAACAGACTAATAGATGATTGGAAAAATATATTTATTTTATAATATAAAAGTAGAATAGAATGAGTAATATCATGAGTAAATATATTGATATCTCTCAGAATTTATGCAAGTACCTGTTCCTGTCTGTTGCCATTGCCTATCTGACCATCAAAGTTTTTGCCCCAAGTGAACACTTCACCTTCAATCGTCAGCAAAGCATTGTGTTGACTCCCACAGCTTACCTGAAGGCGGATATTTGTAATACATACAAATTATTCTAAATAAAAGTAATTTTATACAATATCCCTGTTAACCTATCAGATTATTTCAAGTATTTGTTCCAGCTTTTTGCACTCAGTGTCAAGTATGGTTAGCGTTTCAGTCAAACGCGAGTTTATCATTCAATATACTCTTAGCTCTACAGGTAGTATTCATAAGTATAGAAATCAATTGGCATCATTCCATTTCCTTAGTATTTCATTCACTATTTCACTCACTGTCCACTCATATAAATACCTTTGCATTTGTGAACCACATTTATCTGTTGTGCGTTTTCCTGTGAAGTCTAGTGTCAACATGTACGTGTAGTGTCGATGTCATCTACCTTGTCATAACACGTGACGTGACTTTGTACAATATGTGGTCAACATTAGTGAAACATACTGAGTTTTGGTGTAGTATGTAGCTGTCAACGAGAAATGTATCTGCGTATGTGCACAGACTGTCTCCTTGTGTCGTCTCGTGCGTCTATAAACTGTGTCTGAGTTGTATCAATGTAATATTGGACTAGTGTAAGATGTCTACCAACACGTCCAGCCTGTATCCTCACGTGGTGAACGTGATATTAGACTCTCGTTAATTCACGTGCAATGAATTATCTACTATAACGTCTGTCTACGTACAGCATAAAACCAAGTGACTATTATCACATTCATAGACTCTTATCCAGTAACGTCGAAGTGAATATAAACCGACTCGAGTAAGAAGTCTACCAACACGTCCAGCCAGTATCTTCACGTGGTGAACGTGATATTAGACTCTCGATAGTTCACGTGTATAGTATCATCTACCATAACGTCCGTCTACGTACAGCATAAGCCCAGTAACCTTCCACGTATCCAGTGTGCACGTTTTGCAGCATCAGCCGTCCAGTTTTGTGTAGTATTAGTATACTTTGTCTATTTTTGTAATTAATGATTTGTAATTATAAATACAATATAGTAATCTGTTTAATGAAATCAGACACTTAAGTTCATTTATTAGTTTTATTGAACCTGACAACTTGACACTCAGTTACTATGTATACCCGAAATTTGCATACAACGTAGTATGTATATTGGGTCTAAATATGTGTAAACTAAATAAATCAAAATTTCAAAATCTAAAATGGTAACATACAGGAAACCCTCATTGAATAGGTTCTCGTAGCTTATTAGCCATTAGCTAAGAAAACCCTGGGAGGGTTAGACTTAAGGCCAAATCTGCATCGCCAATATAAACCATCAGACTGTTTAATCAACTCTGACATACCTGGGCAATTCTGTCAATAACAGCACTGGTGTCAACTAGCTTTGGCACCAGATGGCTCTCATATGGTGGAACATTTTGGCCACTCCTCTTGGCACGGCGTGACATCTGAGCGCTGGCTCGTAATGACTGAGGATTACTTCCCCATTTGTACAATTTGTCTGTTATGGTAACAGCCAACTAAGCAAAAGAGTAAATAGCACATGTTTAATCAGTTAATCAGGGACATGCAAAACCTTGTCTTCTATTTTCTAAGGTAGGATTTATAAAAGGATGAAAGTTCAATAAATTTTTTTATGAGTTCATAGGGATATTGTTTGTCTTTCATTTGATACGGGCGCTTTTGAATGTTCCTTGCTATTGTTTTCTTGTAAGTTTTTTTTGTCTTTTCCAAATAGATGATACATAGTACAGGAGATATGTAGTACTAATAGATACTAATAGATATTTTGTGCTAATCATGACAAAATATCCATGATGGAAATTAACCCACAAATTACAAACCATATCCTTTTGGACAAATACTGCAGGAGAAAAATTCATGAAGTTTGTATCAGAAAGCAAAAAATATCATATTCAAAGCTAGATAAAATATTTTATATATTAGATGTATGTACTTTGCCTTTGAGAACATTAGTCATAAATATGTACATGGTCAAGAGTACACTTACATTGTGGAAGTACTTTTAATGGCAAAGAGTACACTTACATTGTGGAAGTACTTTGAATGGCCAAGAGCACGCTTACATTGTGGAAGTACTTTGAATGGCCAAGAGCACACTTACATTGTTGAAGTACTTTGAATGGCAAAGAGTACACTTACATTGTGGAAGTACTTTGAATGGCCAAGAGCACACTTACATTGTTGAAGTACTTTGAATGGCCAAGAGCACACTTACATTGTTGAAGTACTTTGAATGGCCAAGAACTGACACTTACATTGTGGAAGTACTTTGAATGGCCAAGAGCACACTTACATTTTGGAAGTACTTTGAATGGCCAAGAGCACACTTATACATTGTGGAAGTACTTTGAATGACCAAGATCACACTTACATTGTGGAAGTACTTTGAATGGTCAAGAGCACACTTACATTGTTGAAGTACTTTGAATGGCCAAGAGCACACTTACATTGTGGAAGTACTTTGAATGGCCAAGAGCACACTTACATTTTGGAAGTACTTTGAATGGCCAAGAGCACACTTACATTGTTGAAGTACTTTGAATGACCAAGAACACACTTATATTGTGGAAGTACTTTGAATGGCCAAGAGCACACTTACATTTTGGAAGTACTTTGAATGGCCATGAGCACACTTACATTGTGGAAGTATTTTGAATGGTCAAGAGCACACTTACATTGTTGAAGTACTTTGAATGGCCAAGAGCATGCTTACATTGTGGAAGTACTTTGAATGGCCATGAGCACACTTACATTGTGGAAGTACGTTGAATGGCCAAGAGCACACTTATACATTGTGGAAGTACTTTGAATGACCAAGAACACACTTACATTGTGGAAGTACTTTGAATGGTCAAGAGCACACTTACATTGTGGAAGTACTTTGAATGGTCAAGAGCACACTTACATTGTGGAAGTACTTTGAATGGCCAGGAGAACACTTACATTGTGGAAGTACTTTGAATGGCCAGGAGCACACTTACATTGTGGAAGTACTTAGTAGATATCAGACGCACAGCTTCTGGGAGTGCTGTAATCTGTTGAGGAAGAGTCTCCTTGGCTGTTGATCCAAGGCCTAGTTGCCCAAACATACCACAGCCAAAGCTCCAAATCTCTCCCTGAAGGTTAAAATACCATCATTATTCTGGGTTAAAATACCATTATTATTCTGGGTTAAAATACCATCATTATTCTTGGTTAAAATACCATCACTATTATGGGTTAAAATACCATCATTATTCTAGGTTAAAATACCATCATTACTCTGACCCATTCCGTTCAATAAAACCTGTATATGAACACCTCTCTAACCTGAACACCTTTTCAGTCCCATTTTTGAATTTGCAATGTAATAGACATTGGTGTTAAAATACCTTGAAATGTGAACACTTACCAATATGAATACTTTTGGCTAGTTGTGTTGTGGTGTTCAGATAAGACTTTACTAAGGCTACTGTAGATATTAAAATATGTACTTCTTATATGAATTAGCCAATATACAGCAATATGTTCAATAGATGATGCAACAAATGCACCATGGCCCAATTTATAGTTATATGGGTCAATTTTTAACATGGCAAAGGTCCGTTTACCCTCAACATGCCCTGGCTGAATACATGCATTTTTCTAGATTCAAAATATAAATATTCCTTAGGGGTTATCAAATATGTTTTATACTGTATATTTACACAATTATAATACATGTTTGTACTTGTGTGGAAACCGATAAAATGAAATGTTCTTCAATATGTTAGCTTAAGTATGTCATTATTAATATTTTGATATATGAATTTACATATGTCTAAAATTTCATCAGTTTCAATTGCAAAAATTGTCTTCTAAATTAAAATTGTGTTAAATGGTACGAAGCATTAAAAAAATAGAAAAATGTGTTCTAGACAAATATGTATAACCTTAGGGTATTTCCTTATTGTATACAGCATATAATACCTGTACTTAATGGAAAAGGTCAAGTGATCTAACTTTTGAAAAAGTTCATCTGACACTATCAATGTTTTGAGAGGATACCAACAAATGTTAGGGAAAAATGCTTGGGGAAAATGCTAGGAAAGTGTTATAACAGTTAAAATAAGCATTATTCTGTATTGTATCGTATTGTTTTAGTTTAGGGATTGAGGCACTATAGCCCCAGCTTTTTAGTTGATATTGTTAATGTTATGTAATTTTCAAGCCTAGAATAATCTCATAAACTACAATTTGACATAACAGTGATATACTTACATATTGTAGTTTGTAGTATGATGAATACTAGAGTAATAATAAGAACAAACAATTTAGCAGAACTGCTCGCAGAATTTGGAAATTATTTTTGTAGTTTTTACTAAAAAATATGACAAGAATAAAAATAGGTTGTTCCAAATCATGATGTGTTTCAAATGAATCAAGATGCAAGCTCTGTAAATGTTATCATTGGTCAGTATCAAGCGAAGATAATGGCTGTAACCTTCACATCTAAGATGGTGGATGGTAAGTGTCAATCTCTATATTTTTAATTTTCATCAAATTAACCCACTTTATAGTGATGTAATGCTTTGATATTTGAACTATATTAGGCTTATATGACATGGAAACTCTGGAGTATGATCATTTGTTCATATTCCATGCATAGGATTAGGCACCAGTTCAATGATATCTTCCACCACCGCTTATTAGGGAAGGTAACTGGGATTTTGGTTTTACAGATGACAAGATAACTGATATGCGGTGATGAGGTAACGTTATGAGAGTTTACAATGGATAGCTTAGATTCCATTCACCGCATATTGAAAGCTAACATGACCGTTACAGTATCATACATTTCCACTTGCCTTCCCTTTAAGTGGTGGAAGATATCGTTAATCTGTGGCGCCCACCCACAATATATGAATAAATTATCATATTCCATAGTTCCAATGTTATTAAGCCTGATTTGGTTCAAATATCAAAGCATTACTTCAATTGGAAGTACATGTAGTTTACTTCAATGAAATCTTAAAATATTGAAACCAACAATTACCATCCTCGCCATCTTAGATGCAAAGTTATGGCCGTTAAATTTGCTTGATACAGACCAGTGAACATGTGCCTGAAAGACCCCTTACCTTAGCTGTAAGCGCCAAGCTGTGGCTGTAGCCTGCTGCTAGTGTGGTGATATCTAAATGTTGCAATGCTTTCACTACAAGGGGTCTGTGGGCATCTTCAGCATTCCCATGACCCAGTTGGCCATATATCCCCCAGCCCCAACTATACACACTACAAAATGTAATGATATAAAATGGTTTATTAGTATTTTTCAGGCGTAAACTGTCAGAGAGATTAACAGAATTTTACGTTTTTATGTTTTTTCACAACAATTCTGATCATTTTGTGATTATGTTTTGCAGTAGTGCAATCCATTTAAAGTGGACATTTACAATGTATAGTAAAACAATTTGAATACCACGAGGACCAGCGAAAAGTGTTTAGATCAGCGAGTATTCACATTTCAAGGTTTCTTTAATGTCAATGGGAGATAATACATTCTGAGAGAAAGTGCTTTACTGTAATTATTTGTAAACAAAAATAAACTTAACTACGAATAATTCTTAAAACAAAATTGGAATATTTACTCCAGATATAATACTTCATAAGTAATAGTTCATAAGTATATTCACCCCAGATATAATACATTGGTTCAAACATACATACCTGCCATCATCTGTGAGGGCAAGGGAATGGTAAGCTCCACACACAACTTGTACACAGAGATTGTTCATAAGTATATTCCCTCCAGATATAATACATTGGTTCAAACATACATACCTGCAATCATCTGTGAGGGCAAGGGAATGGTAAGCACCACACACGACTTGTACACAGAGATTGTTCATAAGTATATTCACTCCAGATATAATACATTGGTTCAAACATACATACCTGCCATCATCTGTGAGGGCAAGGGAATGGTAAGCACCACACACGACTTGTACACAGAGATTGTTCATAAGTATATTCACTCCAGATATAATACATTGTTTCAAACATACATACCTGCCATCATCTGTGAGGGCAAGGGAATGGTAAGCACCACACACAACTTGTACACAAAGATTGTTCATAAGTATATTCCCTCCAGATATAATACATTGGTTCAAACATACATACCTGCCATCATCTGTGAGGGCAAGGGAATGGTAAGCACCACACACGACTTGTACACAGAGATTGTTCATAAGTATATTCCCTCCAGATATAATACATTGTTTCAAACATACATACCTGCCATCATCTGTGAGGGCAAGGGAATGGTAAGCACCACACACGACTTGTACACAGAGATTGTTCATAAGTATATTCACTCCAGATATAATACATTGGTTCAAACATAAATACCTGCCATCATCTGTGAGGGCAAGGGAATGGTAAGCACCACACACGACTTGTACACAGAGATTGTTCATAAGTATATTCACTCCAGATATAATACATTGTTTCAAACATACATACCTGCCATCATCCATGAGGGCAAGGGAATGGTAAGCACCACACACGACTTGTACACAAAGATTGTTCATAAGTATATTCCCTCCAGATATAATACATTGTTTCAAACATACATACCTGCCATCATCTGTGAGGGCAAGGGAATGGTAAGCACCACACATGACTTGTACACAGAGATTGTTCATAAGTATATTCACTCCAGATATAATACATTGTTTCAAACATACATACCTGCCATCATCCATGAGGGCAAGGGAATGGTAAGCACCACACACGACTTGTACACAGAGATTGTTCATAAGTATATTCCCTCCAGATATAATACATTGTTTCAAACATAAATACCTGCCATCATCTGTGAGGGCAAGGGAATGGTAAGCTCCACACACAACTTGTACACAGAGATTGTTCATAAGTATATTCACTCCAGATATAATACATTGGTTCAAACATACATACCTGCCATCATCTGTGAGGGCAAGGGAATGGTAAGCACCACACACGACTTGTACACAGAGATTGTTCATAAGTATATTCCCTCCAGATATAATACATTGGTTCAAACATACATACCTGCCATCATCTGTGAGGGCAAGGGAATGGTAAGCACCACACACAACTTGTACACAGAGATTGTTCATAAGTATATTCCCTCCAGATATAATACATTGGTTCAAACATAAATACCTGCCATCATCTGTGAGGGCAAGGGAATGCTAAGCACCACACACGACTTGTACACAGAGATTGTTCATAAGTATATTCACTCCAGATATAATACATTGTTTCAAACATACATACCTGCCATCATCTGTGCGGGCAAGGGAATGCTAAGCACCACACACGACTTGTACACAGAGATTGTTCATAAGTATATTCCCTCCAGATATAATACATTGTTTCAAACATAAATACCTGCCATCATCTGTGAGGGCAAGGGAATGGTAAGCTCCACACACAACTTGTACACAGAGATTGTTCATAAGTATATTCACCCTAGATATAATACATTGGTTCAAACATACATACCTGCCATCATCTGTGAGGGCAAGGGAATGGTAAACACCACACACGACTTGTACATAGAGATTATTCATAAGTATATTCCCTCCAGATATAATACATTGGTTCAAACATACATACCTGCCATCATCTGTGAGGGCAAGGGAATGGTAAGCACCACACACAACTTGTACACAAAGATTGTTCATAAGTATATTCACCCTAGATATAATACATTGGTTCAAACATACATACCTGCCATCATCTGTGAGGGCATGGGAATGGTAAGCACCACACACGACTTGTACACAGAGATTGTTCATAAGTATATTCACTCCAGATATAATACATTGGTTCAAACATACATACCTGCCATCATCTGTGAGGGCAAGGGAATGGTAAGCACCACACACAACTTGTACACAAAGATTGTTCATAAGTATATTCCCTCCAGATATAATACATTGTTTCAAACATAAATACCTGCCATCATCTGTGAGGGCAAGGGAATGGTAAGCACCACACACGACTTGTACACAGAGATTGTTCATAAGTATATTCACTCCAGATATAATACATTGGTTCAAACATACATACCTGCCATCATCTGTGAGGGCAAGGGAATGGTAAACACCACACACGACTTGTACATAGAGATTATTCATAAGTATATTCCCTCCAGATATAATACATTGGTTCAAACATACATACCTGCCATCATCTGTGAGGGCAAGGGAATGGTAAGCACCACACACAACTTGTACACAAAGATTGTTCATAAGTATATTCCCTCCAGATATAATACATTGGTTCAAACATACATACCTGCCATCATCTGTGAGGGCATGGGAATGGTAAGCACCACACACGACTTGTACACAGAGATTGTTCATAAGTATATTCCTTCCAGATATAATACATTGGTTCAAACATACATACCTGCCATCATCCGTGAGGGCAAGGGAATGGTAAGCACCACACATAACTTGTACACAAAGATTGTTCATAAGTATATTCACCCTAGATATAATACATTGGTTCAAACATACATACCTGCCATCATCTGTGAGGGCAAGGGAATGGTAAGCTCCACACACAACTTGTACACAGAGATTGTTCATAAGTATATTCCCTCCAGATATAATACATTGGTTCAAACATACATACCTGCCATCATCTGTGAGGGCAAGGGAATGGTAAGCACCACACACAACTTGTACACAAAGATTGTTCATAAGTATATTCACCCTAGATATAATACATTGGTTCAAACATACATACCTGCCATCATCTGTGAGGGCAAGGGAATGGTAAGCACCACACACGACTTGTACACAGAGATTGTTCATAAGTATATTCCCTCCAGATATAATACATTGGTTCAAACATACATACCTGCCATCATCTGTGAGGGCAAGGGAATGCTAAGCACCACACACGACTTGTACACAGAGATTGTTCATAAGTATATTCCCTCCAGATATAATACATTGGTTCAAACATACATACCTGCCATCATCTGTGAGGGCAAGGGAATGGTAAGCTCCACACACAACTTGTACACAGAGATTGTTCATAAGTATATTCACTCCAGATATAATACATTGTTTCAAACATACATACCTGCCATCATCTGTGAGGGCAAGGGAATGGTAAGCACCACACACATGACTTGTACACAGAGATTGTTCATAAGTATATTCCCTCTAGATATAATACATTGGTTCAAACATACATACCTGCCATCATCTGTGAGGGCAAGGGAATGGTAAGCACCACACACGACTTGTACACAGAGATTGTTCATAAGTATATTCCCTCCAGATATAATACATTGGTTCAAACATACATACCTGCCATCATCTGTGAGGGCAAGGGAATGGTAAGCACCACACACGACTTGTACACAGAGATTGTTCATAAGTTCCTCTATGAGCTGAGGTCTGGTTTGGGTATACAATGAGCCCACTCCAACCTGGCCGAATTTACTACTTCCCCATCCATAGACCTATGAATGGATAGTTTTGGTTTATTTTATCATATTCTAACCAATAATTGTTATGATTATTCAAGACATGAGTTCTTAATTCAATTTAGGTTTACGTATAACTCCAATTTTATGGGAATTTTAAAATGAGAGTTAGACAATTTCATGCATAACATTCAGTATATTTAGAATAATGTATTATAACATACCTATGATGATGTATAGTGCAAAGTGTACACAAGACAGCGGGCCAATATAAGTTTTGAAAAGCCCGCGCCCGCTAACTTTCTGATTGGTCAAGGCGCTGACGTCATAACCAATCAATCGAAGATAAAACTGCGCGAGCAATTTTTCTAAACTCATTTCAATCATTTTCAAACCATTTGTTTGTCAATTCTATAAGAAAACGGTACTCTCTGACAAGTCTACATCATCATAGGTATGTTATAAATCGTTTATGTCACTATCGTGGCACATACGCCCTCGGTTCTCAGAGATCAATGTCCCTCCCAAGGTCGGGCCATATATCACTGAGACCTCGGGCATATATGCCACGATAGTGACATAACCTCTAATTATAAACCTATGCTAGACACAAGGAGACAACAAAATGTGTACCTTCATTTCAGTAGTTACATGTATATGTATTGTGTATATGTAGTATGTTGGGTAGGGGGTGTCATATTTATGGCTTCAAATATACACAGCCAATCTGCAACAGTACTGTACAGTACAGTTTTGGTTACAGCACTGTACGGTACAGTGAAATAAGGTACCATCGGTACAATAGACTTAAACGGTACTGTACCATACCAAGAACAGTGTACGGCGCCAGACTCAAACAGTACTGTATGGTACCATGAGTTTAGAGTGTGAATTTGGGGTGTAGGACCTTAGCAATTTTACAGCATCTCTCTTGCCCCTCCCCCCCTCAACTACCTACCTCACCAGCATGTGCTCAATGAAGGACAAAGAATGAGCTATAAATTACCAAGAATGAACTTACCCCTTGTTCCGTAAGTGCCAATGTGTGTTCGACACCACATGAGACGGCTGTCACTTGTATACGTAGAGACCTGAACATTAACATTGGGCTTGGTGGAATATGGTACGATTCCCGCCCAATGTCCCCTAGACCCAGCCTGGAAGTACAATATATTCATTTGACTTTAATTGCATTTAATATGCATAATAAATGTCTTTGCATGCATCATTTAAGTCTGTTTTACTAAGTATCATATATTATGTAAAAATATATGGGATCACAAGACACATAAAGAGAACAAAATCACGCCACAAAGTTGAGTAGCGCGCTAGGCTGAGTGCCTATAGACAAACAAAGTTATAACAATCAAAAAACTTTGCTCAACATTTACTAAAATGGTTTCGATATTTTCCGACGATAAATGTACATTTGCATGAATCTATTATTTAGTTTGTTTAAAATGAACAAATAAAAAACGTTTCGTTGATGCTGTCAACACCGGTACACCTACTCACCTCCCATTGGCAGTCCTTCCCCAAATAAACAAGTCCCCATCTCTAACTAATGCAGTATGGTGTTGTCCACATGCTAAATAACAAACTCGACTTGCCAATCTCCTTCCAGGGTTTGATTCTGCAGTTTGATCATCAAGTTTTTTGCAAACGTCCCCTGTGAGGAAGGTCGTATCAAATGTGTTGCCTGCTCTCTTGTTAGACAGAAGGATAATGGATGAGACAAAGAAGTTGACGAGTTCATGGAGGTCAGAGCTCTCTGTACTATAAACCTACAACAATTTGAGAATTGTCATAAAAGTATGCGACAAACTCAGAAATAACAGAGTCATGGGATAAAAGCCTCATTTCAAAATACATGTATGATGCCCTCTGTACAAATAAGTTATTTAGATACAAAGCAATCAATTTACATTCCTACTTGAAAATGTTAAATTGATGAAGAGCATATGCCATAAAACCAGATATACTGGGTGTCCCAGAGGTAAAAAAGGCAATACCAGTCCTGTTATTTTTTGGACACCCTATATATTAGAAATACAATTGTGAATTAATTATTAACACATTTTCACCTCCAAATCAAAGCTTGCCATTGAACTCTGGGAAGAGAAAGAGCTTGTACTAGTTTTTCTCTGGCGTTGTAGACCAGCAACACGTCCTAAGTATCGCAACATAAATGGCTGAGACAGGTCAAATAGGGTCACAAGCTGAAATAGAGCAGATGATTATTAGGCAAACGTTAGAAAACTGTCCAGAAATATACTAGAAACAACAAATCTGACAGTTTTTCTATTTAATATTTATTGAAATTGTAGTTAATATGTTTAGCTGTTTACCATCATCAATTCCTCTTTTGTCATATGTTGCTGTCTTTGGTGCAGTATTTCTATAAACTGTTTTGCCAGTTGAGGCTTGGTGGAGAGCAGATGTACCAAATCACTGGATGATAGACACTTCAAGAAAGCAGCTATGGCAAAAATAAAATTTATTCCAATATTCAGTAAAACCTGTCCTAATACCATTTGGACCAGCCAAAGGTGTTTGGAATAACTATGGTGTTCATATTTCAAGGTTTTTTGATAAGTTAGTCTATGGGAGATGACTAAATTGGGACACATCGAGTGGGCTCAGATTAGAGAGGTGACCTTGGAGGTACACGGTTTACATATTTTGCATTCACGAAAATAGAACTGTGGCCTTTTCAAACATTTTACACTCTTGAACAATTCTAATTCCATTATAAGTGGAAAAACATGACACAAACTACAACTATATCTAGTACTTACTGTTTGATACTTGAGCAAACATGTACATGTTGTAAGCTTGTGGTAGCAAATCTTGCAGTTCATCTCCCACCCCATCTTTGTCTTGCTTCAATAGCACCTTGAAAATATGATAACAACTTAAGATAAAGAGACAATAGCAGTGCTGTCACCTATATGGAATGAGACAATAGGAACTTACAAAGGTGTTCAATAAGTAAGGCTAATTTTGTTGTAATATCTATTGTTCAAATTGTCACAACAGAAGCATAATTGATTTCGCTATTCTGGAAAGGCTGAAATATGTTAACCCTCAGCACAGTTGCAGGTTTCACAGTAAATGTGAATTTTTAGTGAGTTAGTATCAATAGTAATAACTAAGCTATTTATATAACACCAAGCAGTTTTTATCACTTGATAATCATGTTTTTAATTGTTTTTATTGAACATCTAAAGCCATGTATATCAGATATTTCCATACAGTGATTCCCTGTCACTTTTGTCTGAGCAGCATGCCCAGTTGAGGAACAATTTTCAAGTTTGGTTCATATGGCACCCTCTTTTACTGTACCTCAAGTGTCTCCACAGTTAAACTCTTCAGTTTTGACACTTCAAACATAAGGGCCATCATGCTGTGCTCTGCTAATAATTTGATTGCTGTTTTGTCATCATAGTGATGGTTTCCATGGAGAAATTCTCTAAAAGCATATTTTGGAAATACAATATCATGAAAAAAAGAATTCTCTCCTCTTGATTTGCAAAATGCATTGTAATAAGTTTGTTTTTTCCAACTAATATGTTTGAATGGGAGAACTAGTGGAATTATTACAAAACTCAAATAAATATGTCCCAATGAATAAATCCATCTGAGTGAGTCTGACAATATCCTAATGAATAAGCCCAAAGGTATAAGACACCAATGAATAAAGCTTCAATTGTTTTAAACATTTCTCCATTACCTAAATGCCTGTAACAATTCTGGGTCAGACTTCCCTTTAGCACACAGTTGTTGTACAAAGCTGTGTAATGCCAAATTACTCAGCTGTCTCTTCTCAGAATTTGTCATTTCAATCACCCGATTGGATAGAATCTGCCGAACATAGGTGAGCACTTCTGCCATGCGACCATATTTGGCAAATGCTGCAACCCTCCTTACATGGGGACACTGGAAATAAGATATGGCACTGGAAATAAGCTATGACACTGGAAATAAGCTATAACCGTGGAAATGAGATATGACACTGGAAATATGACACTGGAAATATGACACTGGAAATAAGTTATGATACTGAAAATAAGATATGACACTGGAAATAAGCTATAACAGTGGAAATAAGACATGACACTGCGAATAAGATATGACACTGGAAATAAGATATGACACTGGAAATAAGTAATGACACTGGAAATGAGATATGACACTGGAAATATGACACTGGAAATATGACACTGGAAATAAGTTATGATACTGAAAATAAGATATGACACTGGAAATAAGCTATAACAGTGGAAATAAGACATGACACTGCGAATAAGATATGACACTGGAAATAAGATATGACACTGGAAATAAGTAATGACACTGGAAATGAGATATGACACTGGAAATAAGACATGACACTGAGAATAAGATATGACACTGGAAATAAGATATGACACTGGAAATAAGATATGACACTGGAAATGAGCTATGACACTGAAAATGAGATATGACACTGGAAATAAGCTATAACAGTGGAAATAAAACATGACACTGAGAGTAAGATATGACACTGGAAATAAGCTATAACAGTGGAAATAAGACATGACACTGAGAATAAGATATGACACTGGAAATAAGATATGACATTGGAAATAAGACATGACACTGAGAATAAGATATGACACTGGAAATAAGATATGACACTGGAAATGAGCTATGACAATGGAAATACGTTATGAAACTGGAAATAAGATAAGACACTGGTAAAGGCAGCAATCAAAATATCTCAATTCAGGTCATGTTGAAAACTAAATTGCACACCTGTAATGACAACTTGTGTTGTTTTGGTAAAGATTTTGGAATAATGGGTTGGTTTGTAGAAGAGTCATTTTTGCTGAACTTCAATGTTAACCTGAACAGATGAGGCACACATTACATGTACTTTGGTTATTGCAGTTGGATACAGAATATTCTCTGGATATGCGGATGTATTATACCTTGGAGAGCTGATACAATTTTACAGCTTGAGTGCAATCTCCACGAGCCAGTCTTAGTTCTGCTGCCATCTCAAAGAGGGCATTAATGTCTAACCCTAACATGATCCCTAGTTGTTCTGCTGAATTCACATTGGTATCTGTAGAGTTCAAAGCTACATTCAGAAATAGTCTTTCTGGGGAAACCCTGTAACAAACACTCACTGTTGTACCTATATGTTAATGCAAGGCAAGTTCATTTGGGCCGTGTCCAATGTTTGGGTCAGGTTATAATGTACACCACAAAAGGGTCTCATACTATAATACTCTTTCTTTAGGTTTAAAATGAATTGCTAGGATTTTCACAAAAAATAATTACCTTTTTGAACTGACATAGGTATGCATAGGTAAAGGCTAGAAACTGTATATTGTTATAAATGAGCAAGATATATTGCCACACAAAAGAAGCATATGAAATGGTTTAACCATAAGGGTTCATTCAATGCAGTTTATTAAAAACTATGTACCTTGGCCTACACTCATAAACTGCAGACTTTGTAATAATAAGGCATCCATCAAGAACAGTGTGTTTGGCTATCTGAATGCTGAGTTCAGCCTCAGAGAATTCTACAGGATAACTCTCTAATCTGCCTTGTGATTGGTCAGCCAGGAGCCTCATTCTGGCTTCTTCCTCTTGCTTCTCATGCCAGTAAAATGGAAAAGATTTCTTGTAAATTATTTGGATCTCTTCGTTCTCTGGTAGATAAAAGTATTGTGGAACAGCCTCAGCATTGAATTCCTAAAACACATGTAATGTACATGTCTGAAATGGCCAAAATATGACTGTGATTAGAAATTATTTAGGTTTGTTGTGATGAGTTCTCCACATTGCCCATTTGACTGATAGGTATAAGGAAATTAGTTAGGTTCATTGAGGGAGAACAATTATCACTAGCAATCATGTAGAACATGTTCACTTCAAACAAACAAAGACTTATTCAAAACATATAGCCTACCTAGGAGAAGGCTAACCTAACCTGTCTGACCAAGTTATCTACTCCTGACGTCGTAGATCTACGACATTTCAGAATCAGGGAGTAGATAACTGGGCCAGACAAGTTTGGTTAAGAGAAGGCTTGATACAATGTAACCAATCCTATTGTATAACAGAACTTACCCCTGTTTCATCGGAAGATGTCTCTGCTAACTGATTGGCAATGATTGTTAACTTGTTTATTGCAGTTTCTTGGGTGGCAAACATGAGTCGGTCTGTGAATATGATACCTGTGGCTCCTTCTGGGACCCTGTACTCAAATAAAGGTGTCTGTTCTACATCTGTGTCATGAATCTGAAAGAAAAGTCAATAACGTTTTAACTGGAAACCCAAACACCGAAAACCAATATAATACAGTACAGGAGAATACAATTCAAAAGTGCATGAGAATACAATTTGAAAATACAGGAGAATACAATTCGAAAGTGCATGAGATGACAATTTGAAAATACAGGAGAATACAATTCAAAAGGACAGGAGAATACAATTCAAAAGCACAGGGTAATACAATTCATTCAAAAGTGCATGAGAAGACAATTTGAAAATACAGGAGAATTCAAAAGTAGAGGAGAATACAATTCAAAAGTACAGGAGAATACAATTCAAAAGTGCACGAGAATACAATTCAAAAGTACAGGAGAATACAATTCAAAAGTACAGGAGAATACAATTCAAAAGTACAGGAGAAGACAATTCAAAACTATAGGAGAACACAAGACAAGACTCTACAGGCAAGATTTTAAGACGGAAAATCCAAAATGGCTGCCTTGACATTAACCCAGAATGCCAAAACACTAATCAGATCTAGATTTTCATACTAAGAATCATCCCTGAAAATTTGAAATTGATCTACTGAACGGTTCACCTGGAAATGCGTAGACAAGACTTTACAGACAAGATTTTAGGACAGAAAATCCAAAATGGCTGCCTTGACATTAACCCAGAATGCCAAAAAACTAATCAGATCTAGATTTTCATACTAAGAATCATCCCTGAAAATTTGAAATTGATCTATCAAACGGTTCACCTGAAAACGCGTAGAGAAGACTTTACAGACAAGATTTTAGGACAGAAAATCCAAAATGGCCGACAATAAAAAACTGATTATGAGTTTATGCTGATTTCTTTTTACAAAATTATCACATATAACAACTGTTAACAATAACATAGGCTTTTACAACAAAGTACACCTGAAATTATTGTTACAGTAGTGAGCTACATGTATATTATATTCTACTCTATTCACCTATAGTTTAATTTGTAATCTATGCTTGCTGTATATGTTGAGCTATTCTTCATTAGAGATCTTAGGTCAAGGTCACAATGACATTATACACTGTATCTTGTAAACAAAACTGAACTGAATGACTCATTAACCCTTGACCATCCAGATAGTTCTAGAAATTATAACCATTCATTAAAATTTAATCATGTCACTAACGATGTCCAATCAAGATGTAGTTCCAGAAGATTTGTTTCTGGATCATTCTTTCACATTATAAAAATAACAGCACAGTGACTCTCATTAGCAGATAATTAAACCATCATAACTGGACATCTCAAGGGAACTAAATAAAGCAGAATTTCAAAATTGATCAAAAGGACATCTTCTTAGCAGAAAATTACAAACACATACTGTGGGAACATTTATAACACTACAAACATACAACCTGAGGACTTTATATTGACATATATTACAACACACACTATATACGGATTATCATATACATTTGTGGATTATCATAAACATTTGTGGATTATCATCAAACATTTGTGGATTATCATCAAACATTATTGGATACGAACATTATAGGATTACAACAAACATTATTGGATTATTACAAACATTGGAGAACTATTAACGATTATTGAAACATTTCGTGATCTGGAACATTCCCAAGGATCGCCAACGACATTTATCGACATCAAGAATAAGCCGTATCATTGATTGGACATCACTTAAGTATTAAACCTCCTTTATATTATTGTTATATTATTTAGTTTTCAAAATATAAATATATTGTTATCATATTTTAATTGCTGTTTTTACTTTCTGTTATTTTCGAACGTAACAGAAATTGGGGGCTCGTCCGGGATATAACTACAACAAGCTAAAATTCATAAATCTTAAAATTCAAAATTCCAAATTTATATATTTAAATTGTGAAGACAGCAATTAATCGAAAATGAGTTTTGAGGTTGAGACATTTTTAGAAGCGCCCTCTTTGGAGGAATTTGATGATTTAAAGAAAACTGAACTTCTGGCAATTGCAAAACATGTTGGCCTGTCAGTCAAAAGCTGATACAAAATCAAAAACTTTGTACTTCAATATTTGATCGCAGAATCACTTCTGCCCGAGGTGCTAGCCCAGCATGTCGAGCATACTGATCCTATTAAGCTGAAAGAACTAGAATTGAGAGAGCTTGAAATCAAAACACAATTGAGAGAGAAAGAAATGCAAAATGAAAAAGAAATAAGATTGAGAGAACAAGAAATTCAAAAAGAAAAAGAAGTTGAATTAAAACGACTTGAATTAGAAGCTCAATCAAAAACTGATGAACATGCTACTATGCATCAACATTTTGAAAATAGGTTTGACGCTTCAAAATTTCTCAAATTTGTACCTAAATTTCAAGAGAAAAATACTTTACACATTTTGAAAAAGTCGCTCAGAGCCTAGACTGGCCTAAATCTGCATGGCCAGTTATGCTCCAGAGTGTATTCATTGGTAAAGCAAGTGAAATATTTGCCTCTCTCTCATGAGAAGTATGTTCTGATTATGACCTAGTTAAAAATGCAATTCTTAAAGCTTATGAACTAGTGCCAGAAGCTTACAGACAAAAATTTAGAAATGCCCACAAACAGAGTGACCAAACCCATGTTGAGTTTGCTCGAGAGCAAGAACAGCTTTTTGACAGGTGGCTTGTCTCTAAAGATGTATCTGAAGAGTTTAAAAAGCTCAGAGAGCTTATGCTAATAGAACAATTTAAAAACTGTGTTCAATATCACATTAGAATTTACTTAGATGAACACAAGGTAGAAACTTTGAGTCAAGCTGCCACCCTGTCTGATGATTATGCTCTTACTCATAAGGGTAGTTTTATCAAGGGCAATCCTAACTATAGAGGTTATCAAGGTAACAAACCTTCATATGATTCAAAATCGAATCAGTCCTCATCATCAAATACATCAAACAAAGCAAAAGACCAGTCTTATTCATCGCAGAGTTCTAGCTCAAAATCAGATCAATCAAATTCTTCAGGTCCAAAATCAAATGTCACCTGTAACTATTGTAAAAAGCCTGGTCATCTTATTTCTGAATGCTATAGGATTAAGAATAGAAGAGAGATGTCTGGTTCTGCTCATTCAAATGGTTGTGCTACTGTTCCCATTTCAAGAAAGCCCATTGTTTGGGATTCATATACTCATACTGAGAAATCTACTCATAGTGATATTATGGAGGAATATAAGCCTTTCATGTCGGAAGGATCTGTGTCACTGTCAAGTGATGGTACCAATTCAAAGCCAATTAAGATTCTTAGAGACACGGGTGCATCTCAGACTTTGTTGTTAGAAGGTGTCCTTCCTTTATCTGAGGAGTCATTCACAGGTACCCATATTTTGATGCAAGGCATTGAATTAGGTTTTACTAAAGTTCCCCTCCATCGTATTCATATCACATCAGAGTTAATCAAAGGGCCAGTTATTGTTGGTGTTAGGCCACAACTTCCTGTTGAAGGAGTCGCATTGCTTTTAGGCAATGATTTAGCTGGGGGTAAGGTATCATTAGACCCCATTGTTTCTGATCAGCCTTGTTCTATTGAGGATTCTGTCCAAGAGGACTCTGATATATATCCTGCTTGTGCTGTTACTAGGGCTATGGCTAAAAAGTTAGCTAATAGCGGGGATTCGTCTGTGGGAGATGACTTTGATAGTGGGTTTTTAAGCTCCTTGTTTGATGATGAATGTCACTCACCACTTGTTAAAGATGATCCTTATCCTATTTTAAAGGCAAATTCTTCATTGAAACAGCCTTCTGTTCAAGCCAAGCAGTCATCTATTAAGGCAAATTCTTCATTGAAAAAGCCTATTGCCAGAGGTGATTCACCTTCTGAGCAGGATCACTATTTTAATGCGGTTTCGCCCGCTCTTGCTAGTACTGATGAAGTTTCATTTTCTTCTGCTAGTGTTCATGAGGTTTCATCCCCTCCTTGTTCTGAGGTTTCATCCTCTTCTAGTTCTGAGGTTTCATCCTCTATTTCTGATAGTGATTCTTTGAAAAATGATCCTCATTCTAAAACCATGTTAATTTATGAACAAGAGCATGATCCATCACTCATTGATCTTCATAAAAGATGTCTTACTATTGATGAAGCTGACAAGGTCCCTGTTTGTTTCTACAAAAAGGATGGCATATTAATGCGAAAGTGGAGACCTCCTGAAGCTTCCCCTGAAGATGATTGGGCAATTGTACATCAAATTGTTCTCCCCAAATCGTATCATAAGGAAATCTTGAGTCTAGCTCACGATTCTCCCATGGCAGGTCATTTAGGAGTAACTAAAACATACCATAAAATACTCAATCATTTCTATTGGCCCAAATTAAAACAAGATGTCCAAGAGTATTGTAGGTCTTGTCATACATGTCAAATGGTAGGGAAACCTAACCAGAAAATTTCAATTGCTCCTTTACACCCTATACCTGCATTTGATGAACCATTTAGTAAGGTTCTTATTGACTGTGTTGGTCCATTACCAAAAACAAAATCTAATAATCAATATCTGCTCACTATTCTGTCCATGGCCACACAGTTTACAGAAATAAAATCACTCCTTATGTTTAGGAATAGCAAAACCAAGTATATTGTGAAATCACAAATCAACATTTTCACATTAGTTGGGGTACCAAAGGAGCTCATATCTGACTTACAATCTGACTCAGTGCTGAATGATTTCATTTGCATTGATAGAACTACCCCTGTGAGGTGTAGAGAGCTACACATGATGAAAAGGTATGTTGAGGGTGATAAATTTCTTACTCAGCATGACCTTGTGCTCTTTGGTCTTAGGCCTAACTTGTATGTAAATGATAACTATATGTTATTCAAGATTTAGATATTGTAAATTATAGTGATTAACCCATGTAGAGTATATTATATGATAGGCAAATTGTATATATGTGATAACTGTCACTTTATTTTAACAATACTGTATATAAAAACATTTGCCTAAATAGTGAAATTGATATTTTGTGTGAGCATTATAGGTGATCATTAGATAATGTCACAAGATT